CTGATGAAGACACAAATCGACGTTCTTGCCAAGCTGACTGTTCTGAATCACGACTGGTTCCACGACCTGAACTGAAGTAATGCCATCTAGGTGGCGGTCCTTCCGGCTCTCTCGGGATCAGCTTTGGTGGTGTTGGAATGCGACCAAATGAATGTGACCTTCTCCTCGACAAACTTCTGCTTCTTCCGCGCCGGTACTCTCTGCTATTGCCACGTCTCCTTCCACGATGATAGTCCCGGCTGTCTGATCGCTCTCTTCGGCGTCTGTCTCTTGAACGTGATCGTCTCCTCTCGTACTCTCGTTCCTGCATTTGCTTCACCTGCTGTGTCAACAACTCGACAGTCTGTAGCAAGGCCTGTGTCGCGGCATCAGGCTGACTTGTAGCAACTGATTCACCCCTTGGTTCTGCCTGTCTTGAGGTCTCGGCCTTGTCACGGCGACGAAGTTCAGCATCTTCATTGTATCGACTCTCTTCTTCGGGTGCTGATGCCTCAGCTGCTGGTGCTTCAGGTGCTGGTGCCTTGGGTGTTGCTGCAGCGAGTTGTGGATCTGGTGATGCTGCCCTCACGGATCCTGGCCCTCTATGGGACATGGTGTGTGTCCCTTTCGGCACGGGGACTGGCGCCTTCGCCGAACTCGCCGCCTTTACCACCGCTGGTCGGAGGACTGGTGGTTTTTTCGGACATGGCGGCGGCGGTAGTACTCGGGACCCAACTGGAGCCTGGGATCTTCGATCGCTCTCTCGGGCTTCAACTTCTGAATCGAATACCACCAAGCCAACATGACTGTATGTTGGAGTCGCCTTCAACCCGAACTGCTTCAAGACATAGTCCCTTGACCTCAAGGCTGCTTCCAAAGCACCATGCGACTCATGCGTGCACATCGCACATTTGCCCTTGCATGCGCCGCTCATCTGACTCCAGGAATGATCCTGGTTGGAATGCGTCAAGGTCAAGTGAGCTCTCAGGCACAGCTTGCTGAATGCCGTTGCCAACAACCAACCAAAGGATACAGATCTGTGTCTGTTTCGCCTGCAGTAGGCTATGACAGCCAGCTGTTGTCCCTTTTCATGGCATGCCTTCAGGTGATGAAGTCCATATAGCAATGCTTCCATCGTCTTCTCGCTGCCAGTCATCCCTCGAATGATTTCCGGATGTGTACCGACATGAGATCGCAACTGCGGGTCGTGTTGAGGATCTCCAAATCCCATGCAGTCAAAGATCAACAATCGCCTCCCGGGGTCAAATTGTGCCAAGATGGGTCCCAATGTAATCAAGCTCTTGCTGCGATCAAAGCTCGCAATCTGGCCATTGAACTCCTTCCCGCACGTCAAGACATGCACACAAGCAGGGTCATCCAGCGTGAAAGTGCCTCTAGCCGGGCGCTCTTCGTCAGCCATGAATGCAGTCAACTGATCTGATGGACGAATGTTGAAGCTCATGCCATAATCCGTGTTCTTTAGTTCTCGAAGTTGCCTTGGGAGTCTCTTGGACTTTAGGCTCTTGAGGCCTTCTGAGAGGTTCACACATAGAAGTCCTGAGTTCCTAGCTCTGCACAGTTCAAGTTCTGCATTTCCTACGTAACACTTGGCATCACCCATAGATTTCGTGAAATGCAATGCAGCTTGAGCATGCTGTGACAAAAGCAATGGAATCTTCCCATCAACAACATGCGTTTCCATGACTCCCGGAAGTTTCGTCTCGGGGTCCAAAAAGGTCAAAGCAAATGGAATTCGACACTTGCCCAAAGTCTTGGTGTCTCCGGCGAGTCCTCGGAAAGCTTTTGAGTCACACTGCAAATCAGCTACATCATACCCAAGACGTGCATACTTGTCTTTGGCGTTTTGGATCCATGCTTGTCCACACACAGTTGCATTACATCCTTCATCCAACACAGCCCAGACTCCAGGGTCTTCCATGATGTCAACAAGACGAAGTGTGTTTTCAATTGTGGCTTCATTGAGATCCGACAACAGTCCCATGTAGCAAGTTTCCGGGGCGGCCTCTCTGATGACCTCCACGGCATTGGCAAGGATCTCGAACAGGACGCCAACCCTCACAGGTTCTCCAAATTCTAACTCACACTCAACCTCTTGTCGAAACATCTCCAAAACCTCTAGAGTTCCTTCAGCTGACATACATGCATCGTTGATTTCATTCTCAATCATGGATGCTGTCGTGTCGAATGCATTGGTGCGCATGCCTACCATACTCTTTGCCATTGCCTCTCTCTTGCGCGCCTCTTCTCGGGGCATCTCGTCGACAGTGGTTCCACACAACTTGCAGTACCAACGAGACGTGGTTTTCGAACTGCCTCGACGATCTGTAACCTCATGCTTGCATTTTGCGGGGTCGGCCGAAGGTTTGCTTTCTTTCTTCTTTCTTTCATTCTTCCCGCAGTCAAGGCATGTCTTGTTCTCAACATAGGCATTTGAACCTTGAAATGTGAATCTGGTGCAACGACGGCATGATTCCTCTAGCGGGGGGTTTGGTGGTTTCCCTTTGGCACTCTTGTCTCCAGTACGTCGAATCGCCTCTACTGGCACATCTGTCAAGGGATGCTCTCTCAGGCTTACGTCTCCGTCTTGACTGACTTCGTAGTACGTGGTCACCCAGGTCAGAAAATCTGCCAAACAACGCGAAGGGTGCGAAATGCCTGATCCCCATTGATAGTATCCAGGGTATTTGAACAACACTTCATGATATGTCAAACCTTGATGCTGACCAAACACGAAGACATTCTGTGAACCTTCAGGTAACAAGTCTTGCTCCATGTCCTTCTTCCTACGCGTGACCGGAGGGGACTTCTGCGGTGACCGGCGGACATTTGGCTCGACCATCGAAAAGCTAGACGGTGGACTGCTGGTCACTCCTGACGACATGGATGCACGGTCTGACGGTTCAAACTCAAGCTTCTTCTTTGGGGACATCTTGTATGCCATGTAGCACGTACCATTTCCGACAGTTTGGCCACTGACATCAACACACATGTATTCATCTTCAACAGAAGACTCATCATCACTCAATGCAAAATAGGCTGTGGCTTTACTCGTCGACGACGTTCCTCCAGGGGACTTGTCGTTCTGCTTGGGGAACTTGCAAGCTGGGTCTCCTGCCCAATGTCCTTTTCCTCCACAACGCAAGCATTTGGACACTGACTTCAACTTTGCTAGACGTGCAATCCTGTCTTGCACGCTCAACTGTGTCCTGAACACATACTTGCCTTTTCCTTTGCTCTTTCCACCTTTCTTTCCTGAACCTTTGCCTTTGCCTTTGCTCTTACCCTTCAACTGGTCAGTCACGGCAAAGGCCATCATCCGGTGCTGGGCTGCGCTGCCCAGTTCCTCTGAGACATCGTTTTCTTCATCATCACATTCTCCCATTGCCATCAACGCTGTGGCAACTTCAGGGTCTTCGACATAGTCTTCATGTTCTTCGTCTTCTGGTTCTTCATCTTCTGCTGCGACATAAGCTTCATGCTCATAGTCGTCCTCTGCTTCTGCCTCATAGGACTCTTCATAATCCCATGAGTCATCTTCAACAATGTACGCAGATCTTTGCCAACTGCGTCCTTTTCCTCCTTTGTAGGAAGACTTGCTTGAGAACTTGCCTCCGCCTTTCTGCCTCCGAGGGTTTGCATTGCCAAAAGCGGACCAGCTGCGCAAGTGAATTTGTCCATGGAATTCAAGCAAGAACTTGGCGTAGACGTCAAAGGATTGGTTGTCGCCTGCAGCTGTCTTGATCATGAGCTGTTCTGTCTTGCTCAAGCCAGAGCCTTCCAGAAGTAGCTCACCACGCATGGGGTCTGAAAGACTTACCCCATCATCCATCTCCAAAAGCTTCCTCCACCAACGACGTCTTCGTGAAATGTAGCTAGTCATGCTTTCTGTCGTTTGGCGAGACAAGGGACCATGTGGGAGTTGACCCACTCTGAACAACTCGCGTGCTTCTTGTTGTCGAAGTGGAAAAACTTGTGCACGGATACGCGATATCAACTCATCAATGCCAGTTGGAGTCAACAACTTCTCCAATCCCATGTCTTGAGCTGTAAGGTATGCATCACCTCGCAGACCTTCCAACACCTTGTGAACAAGTGTTGCATACTCTGCTCCATCATCATCCAGTCCGGCAGTGCTCAGAGCTGGTTCTTCCTCTCCTACCACGCTCTCGGACTTCGGGGTTCCAAAAGCTTCAAATCGTGCCTCGTCATCCTCTGATACATCCCCAGCTTCGGTCGCATGAGTCGGCCTCCTCTGAGAACGTTCTGGTGTGGCTGATTGGCTTCCAGGACTCGAATAGGTCTTCTCTGACTTCTTCTTCGCATGTTTCTGCTTGTGCAAAGCAACGCGGACCTTGGTGCGAAATTCCCATTCGAAGAAACCATTTGGATTGCCACTGTAGATGTATGATCCGCTCTTCGTCTCCTGTGGTCCTGAGATACTTCCTCCATGGGATGTGTACCGCAGGCCAGCCAGCGACATCGCAACTCAACAAGTTTCGCAAAGCACTGGAATTACAACGGTTCGACGGATTGCGCGCAGGGTCACGCAATTGGGTTCAACGGTTGGATCCAGCGAGTCTCCCCGGGTGAGTCAGATCCTGAGGGTGCCCCTTCAGAACCTGCTCCGCTACCAGTTTGAATCTCGCACAGTTCCTTTTCGCAGCAGCGAATCAGCTCAAGGGCCCTGTTCAGCCGAAACAGCAGCGACGGTGCATCAACTGTACGCAATACACCCTGGCTACAACAGCTGAAATTCACACTGGTCTTTGCATATCTTTGCCTGCTCTTGCAAAGCGTTGCAAGATCTCAGTTCAACAGTGGAAGAATTGTGGCCATCCAGCATTGGCCTGATTGTAACCTTGAAGACCCATGTCACTCTGCACCTATGGAAACATAAGTCTCCTTCGTTCTGAAGAACTGATGTTATTGACAGCAGCGTTCTGCCGGCACACGCGGTTCCAATTCGGGGATGAATGATCAAATCATCCTCACCGAGGGACAGGATCTCCAGCCTCACAGGTCTTCTTCTTCGCTTGCAGAAGACCACCTTGGCCGCAGCTGTGCCGTGGGGCCAGTTTTGTGCACCTGAAGCTTCCTTGCTGGAAGTTGATGGTTCCCATCTATTGTGGAAACAAAGCCGTCCAAGCAAGTCAACTTGATCACGGTGAGAAGGAGGACTTTCGAATTTTGATAGGGTCATATGGAAGTCACGAAAACTCTTGAAACGCAAAGTTGACAGCAGCGAATACTCTCTTTTCGCTTCAAAAACACACGCTCACACACACAACTGATACAATATGCTGGTTGGCTTGTATGAAGGGCAGTGAGTGCCCGGTGCTGTAGCTTGTTAGGACAAAGGTGCCAGACCAATTCTTAGTAAAATCCCGACAAGATCCACCAAGTATAGGCCAAAGGTTTCGGAATTATTTCGATTGGGGTTGTCAGACCCTGTGACGAGACAAACAGCAATGTGACGCAAAGGACACAAACAAGCCAGCAACATCATTTGCTGGCAAATGGACTCATTCAACTTTGCCGAGCGCTATGATTCAAGATCGGGCCGGCGAGCAGTGACTCGGAACGCAAGTGAGGAACAAGTGTCCACAGTGAGTAGCCACCGTAGCAAAAACTCTTCCGAACTTGGCTCTTGATCCGAGCAGCTTTTCACGAGCTGTGTGACAGCTTTTGTGGCCAAAGCGGACAGATCCTCATCCTCATCCAGACTTCCAGATACACCAGCTTCGTCCAACAGGTCCTCCAGCAACATTGATCGAGAAAATCATGTACCAGTAGAAGCCGTTGGCCCAAAAGGAGTACAGTACTTATTGGTATGATTTCCAAACAAATGACCCATTCTTCAACAAGTTGTACCAGTACTTTGCAAAATCCACATAATACCGGCAAAGCACATCATAGAAAATGTGTTCATCTGACTTGTTAAGGTGACTTCGCATTTTAAATCAAGACAGTTTGCAATGCCCAGTTTGTCAACACAAACCTTCCACTGAACACGGATACTCACTACCCATGGATGAAAGACCACACGGAACATCTCCAAACACCAAATCTCTTGTTGGGTGGTGCTTGTGCCATTAAGTCTATACGCACGCATGCACTGTGTTCATCTATGTTCTAGGGGTCTAGAAGGTTGTATAAACAGTGTCAAAAACCACCAAAAGAGGACACTCCAATCCAAGAAAAAGGAAAAGGCGTCCACCAAGGGTTTTCTGGGATATCCTATAGACATGAGAGAATCTATTGGAATATCAGGGCATCAATATTGGATTTGGTAAGCATTCGCAAAGGGAAACCCCACGAAGACCCCTTAGTAATAGCAACCATACTGAAACATACTAAAACTAAAACCCTGTGGTAAGACAGGGCACTGCAATCTCTCCTGCAAGAGTCGTGCCCACCTGGGAAGCTTTTCGTCGCAGTGCTCGTCCGCGTACGCCAGAAAGGATGCGCCTGTCTTCGATCAGCTAGGAGATTCCAGGAAGATCAGGAAGTATGGATTTAAGCAGTATTGACGGATCAGTATTGAAAGAGAACTAGTCTCATATCGTTGCAAGTTTGGCTTTCAAACTAAGGGCTCCCGAAAACCTCGGCACACTCTCAGTCAGTGGCCTAAGAAGTTGTTGCTGAGAACTCCCATCTGAGTACCAACCGCTGGAGTTGGATGCGAAGTGTGACAAAACCACTTCAAGCATATGTGAAAATGCGAAAATATATGTTCAAGCAGTCTATCATTACAGTAATATATATATATATATTACAAATCCATGATCACTCGAAGCCCAAACAATTGCACATCCTTGCAGTTCTCTCTGACTCGGTCAGGGTACCGAGCATGTCCAAACGTTCGGCATCTTCCTCGATCCATGGTCGCAGCTCCACGCAGGCACGGAAGGCTTTGGCGATGGAAGTGCTATCAGCTTCCACCAGTTCCAAGCCTCCAGAAAAGGCCAAGAGCATACTGTCCATCCAGGGAACTGGTTCAAGAAAAGGATCCAGGGACCGGCAAGGACCCACGGGTGTTCGATAGTTTTTCGTCTATTTCTCTGTTCACAAATGGGTTCGGATAGTGCCCCATGCTTGAGCGGCCAAATTTTGATCTCCAAGCCACGAGCTCCTGAAGCCATTGCAGCCTTTTCCAGTGCCTCAAAGACGCAAAAATACATGGGATGGGATGGATCAAGGACAACCCTGAGGAATGAGATGTTCCTCAGCTAGCCACAAGACAAAGTAACAGGAAGGAGGAGGAACCCAAGGATCTGGAAGTCCATGTTTCTCCATGTTCCCTTCAAAGAGGTCACAAGAGGTGTTCAAGAGGGATGTCCTGCATTCCCGCAAGCGGGAACTTGGTCCAGCAGGGGGAATTGAACACTTCGGAAGGCACTGCCCAACGAAGACCTTTCAATAGTGTGGTGATATGACTTTGGAAGGTCAACGTCAAGTGTCTTGTTTGTTCTTGTTCAATATTTGCATGGCCGTGTCAACAAATCTTGATCTTTGCCATTTCTCAGGGCCAGAGGTCTCAGGCTGCTGGATCTGCACGCTTCACCGTAGCAAGATCTCACATGGCCAATGCGGTAAAACTTCTAGTGCACTACTATGCCTCTGAATCAGGTCTCTAGGGACCACCTCTTATGAAAGTGTGTCACTGCGCAAGGTAGTCATCAAGCTCGTCAAGTCAGTAGACGTTCTACATCTTTTTACCCGATAAAAAGGAATGCTGTTTAACCCAACAGAAACGCTACTAGGGGCTCCTGGCCTTATTACTAGGAGCAAGGACGCTAATAGGGGCTCCTGGCCGTACTACTAGTAACAAGAAGCTATTAAAAAGCTCAACAACAGAAACGCTTTTTCGCCCAGTCCGACTTGCCGTTCACCAAGGCGCTGCTCTGTCCGCCTTGCGGAGTGCCACGCTTCGCCCCTTCGCACTCGTCTTGGACGGCGCAGACGGCGCCTAGGGATGTTGATCTGGGTCGATTTGGTGAGGGAAAGGATGGGTCCTACGAGTCCTATGTGGGTCCCATGTTTGAATAGGTTGCTTGGTCTGTTCATGCACGACCCTTCTTTGATGTTCCAACGACCCTTTTTCACCTGCACCTAAAACGACAACGATGATACAAGGCGTTTTTGGGAGGGGACAGTCTGCCCATGTCCGTCCAAAAGCCAAAATTTAGAGAGTCTCCTATCTGCTTTGACATAGATGAGCAGCATGTTTCGGAGCATAGCACTTTTGGGATGTGAAGAGGTTTACAGTCCAAAACAAAAAACAAGGTCAATCCTAGACTTCCTTCAACAAAAAAAATACACTGCCTCTTTGTCATCAACAGATAGCTTCTCATTATCTCTTGAAGACTAAGGTGACTAAAGCTCTCGGACCCTCTGTGGCTCTTTGGTGGTGCAAGCGTTCCGGCTTGATGCCAGCCCAGGGTAGAAGGGTAGAAAAAACAGAATTCTGGAGAGGACGCTGGAGTCTAATTACATGTAATATAATGTAATATTCTTGGGGTATGCTGTAACACAAGAATTTGATTCATCACCATCACAAACATATGTGCATTCGAGCCATGAGCAAGTCAATGCAAAAACCTAGACCATACCAGAAAAGACAGGGTTCCAGCTCAGGCTTGAAAAGGGACTGCAAAAAACGAGTAATTGCAAGCTAGGTACAGGCGTGGTTTCAGGCCAGCTTTCCTCGACCAAGTCTGGTTCCTCACACAGTTGGGCAACCTTGCCACTGAGCCGTTTTGCGTAACCACCGGTGGCTGCAGCGCTTTCAGCTTTGGCCTTCAGAGCAAGAAGGAACTTCAGCCCCCGTCTTTGTCTGACGAAACTGCTTGAAGTCCACTGGTCCCTGGCCTATGAACGTTCCTTGCCACACCAGGGAAACATATGCCTTGCGGCAGATTGTCTCCCCGGTGCACGACAAGAATCAACAATTAAGACATTCAGGAGGCTGAATCTACCCCATGTTCCCTCTCATGTCCAATGAACCAACCCACTGAGTGCGCCAGGCCACAAAGCGCTTGCAAAGAGCTAAAGTCCTTTGATGCAGTTGGTCAAATGCAGCACTGAATGCATAAAGCTTGTTTCTTGGTCCAACAACATGCGGGCTCAGGTTTTCCAATCTCCTCCTTGAAAAATTTGTGGAAGTTTGACGGAACACACAATCTCGCCAAACACAGGAGTGTTTTTGCACTCGCTATCTTTTGCACATCACGAAATTGTGACGACTCCCTGATGGGAAAGTAGAACATGTATATTGGATTACTGCAAATCTTCTCTCTGGGGCCAAACAAGGCAAAATTAGCCCTCATCCAGCTCAAGATACCGGTTATCTATGGTTATCTACCCCAATCACCCAAGCTCCTATTCTCTACTAGTATGGCTTAAAAACATCGTGGACCATCTAGGCCATCTCCTCGAAACTCAACTTCTAGCTCAAATGAGGGAGAGCGTGCAGCAGTGCGGAAGACCATGGGTTTTGTCGTGCCAAACTTCGGCCGAGGAAATCCTGCAAGACTGCCACAATCGACACAGCGAGTCCTCTCCACAGCTTCGCAACTCTGCTGACAAGCCTCTCCTTCTCGTCCCCGAGCTCAGCGTCGGCAAGGAAGGGCGCCAACAGCTCCGCTGTCTCGGAGACTGTGGAGGCATCTGCCAAAGACTCGGCCAAGAAGCTTCCTGGAGCGCTGGAGAAGTTACGGTAAAGAAGCAGGTGGGAGAAGCATGGAGAAGCAAATGAGTGATCAGTGACCACAGGAAGCCTACAGCAATGCGGATGAAAGCTTCATGTCTCATAAACCAAGAGGCTAAATCAGAAAAGAGCAGTGGTGGTTCGGTGGTTCCTCCAGCCCTGCATGGCCCTGCTAATTATGTTCCCCCTATGAGGCTATTGCAGTAAAGCTTCGGACTGCAGGATCCAAACTGGCCAAAGGCTCTGAGGACAAAAGCCCTGCCACATCCATAGCACTCAGTGCACGGGACCCGTGTTGTGCTCGGAAGGGCCGTGTTGCGCTGCATATGGTTCTCTCCAAAGATCTTCGATCATATTATATACATAATTACTATACTTACTATTTGGTGGAGGCCACCGCTATTGGAAACAAAGAAAAAGAAAAGGAATACTTCTACTTACAGTACTTACATTACATTCACTACACTGCCCAATAATCTCGCACATACAGTACTTTATTGAAGATCTGAGAAGAAAAAACAGCGATGTTGAGATTGAGGTAGATGGTCAGCAGCAGCTTGGGCCATCCGCATGGAAACCAATCCTGGTTTGCCTTTGAGCCTCGCGATGGGGGCATTTTACAATGGCTCATTCTTTGGACTTTCTTGATGTCTGCTACTGCAGCAGTACTCCATACAACAGCCATCTTGGTCCCAACTGAAGCCAAAAGGAATGGCCGGAATGGTCTTGTCGCATGCCGCATGCCAAAGCACCAAAAGCAAGCAAGTGTTGGCTCATATTATATGATGCGGCGCTCTTTTGCAATGTACATCATGGACTTAGATTCCACTCAGAGCTCACTCTACATAAATAAAGATTGGAACCACCTCAACAGGGACAGGGAAGTGTTGAGAAATCAATTTTCAGCTTTCTGCAACAAATTAATACATCTTACTACTAGCTAGCAGCTATCTACTCACTTGAACTTGTTAGCTCTCTCCTCTTTTGGAATTCCCTGTGTCGTCCCCAGAAGCCCTGCAACCACCTTGAGGAGCCGTTGTGTGGCGGCCAATTCGGCCTCCAAGCCCTGCCAAAACCCCAGGCCAAAACGTTGCAAACACGTTGATTCAATCATCTCCGACATGGGGTGCCTCAAGAAATCTGAGGTGGAAAGGTCGCCCAGCATCGCCCTATGTTTTTAATCTGTGACATTCAGATGCATGCTAGGCCGCGCTGCTAGCAATGTCTCGTCCTGTTCTCCCAATGTTTGGACACGATATTGACCACACTGGCCTTGTTCCGAGCTTGTTCTTCCTTCAGCTTTTGCTGGGCGGCCTGCAGCGCCTGCTGCATACTTGAGGCCAGGGGTTGGTGATGGCGGGCTCTAGCAAAGGATAATTCACTCGGTAGCCGATTAAATCCCCCAGCCAATAACTTGCTAAAGCATGCTAAAGCAAAAGTAACTCCAGCTAGCTGAAGCTAGCTTTCGTGATAACGTGGGATGCCCACGCGGACCGTGGCTGATTTACTGGTTAAGTATTGAAGCATGTATCTTTTCATCTACCCCGCAAGCTTCCAATATGCAATCGGACACACGGAATTGCGCATGCAAAAATCTAGGATACATGCAATCGGAGAACCGAATCGACTGCTCTAGTCTGCAGCTCCATCCAGGCCCCTAGAGCGGCATGCAAATGACCAAGCGCAAGCGATGCTGGTACATCATCATTACAGTTCCAGCATACTAATTAGCTCCAGGTTCCAATGCAAATCTCAATCGTGCTGTATAACTCGAGGTGTGCAGCTTTCCAGTCCTCACTGCACCCTCTAAGAGAGTGAATGAACTTGTATTCACCGTCGCTGCACAGCACAAAGCTTCAATGACTTTAATGACCGGAGCGCAAGACCTCTGACATTGCACTCTGAATTGCATTCAATTCCTGTTGATGAAAAATTGAAAAGGTCTGATCGGGTCTGATATTGAGCCTTCAAAATAAGCTGGACTGGTTCAAAGGAAAAGATGACCACGGAAAAGCTTAAAATTAAATCCTATCTATGGAAGCCAGCAGCATTTACCAAGAAGGACCCTGGGTAGTCTGCAATCATTCAGCACATGCAGTCAGCCAAATGCAAGTTTGTGTTTTCACCAGCTAATGCAAAAATACCCTGCCTTTTGGAGGTCCTCTGCGCTTTTCGGTTCCTGTCAAGCGGTAGAGCTGTCTGTTTTCTTAGGTGAATGCTTTGCAGAACATCCAGAAAGCCTAAATCATGGGTGCATACTTTCACCCAAACATCTCTGGTCCTAGCAACAGTCCATGGTACCATATATAATACTCGTATGTCGATGTCGAGGAACGGAGTGCCAACCGAGCTTGTCCGATGTCGAGGGTTGAACACCGGATGTGTGGAAGGTCTTCGACCCGGATCAACCCAGATCCTTCCTGAACACATTAAGCCGTACCAGCCATGCACCATGTACCACCCATTTCACAAGCTAGGAAATGGCAGGTGTTTGTTCCTGCACGCGTGCTCAAGGCGTTTCAAGTGGCCAACAGCTGTGTCACACATCAACTCCACAGTGTGTAAAGCAGTCCGATTGGAATGAAAGGCCCTGAAAATTCAGAGATTTCATTCTTATCTCTCTCAGAATATCTTAGACAATCATCAGCAAATCTCTGTACAGCTACGCCACGCGATGTGATGTCATTTTGTGCCTCAGCCTCATCCGTTCCCACGGGGCTCTGCACCCACCCTGCCACTGATGAAGCCAAACATGCCAAACAAAGCACAACTCGGAAGTATTATCCCATCATTTCTTCGAAAATAGGTGAGCAAATCCCTATCGTTCCTGCGCACAGCATTGGAGAGTACCCGGCACAAAGACGTTTCGAAGTTATATAGTGACCTAGGTGAACATCGAGTAAGAGATTGGTGAAAATGGTCCCGTAGGAGTACGATGCAGCTACTAAAGGTCGTGAGAAGCGACACAATGAAGATCCGTGATGCAGAATCAGGTATGTAACAAGCTGAGTTCAGTCAAAATGACACCCCAGATCAAGGTGCGCTGACAAATCTCCCACAGAGGGCCACCCAAAGGGATATGAACTGTGGGGCAAGGTCCAGTTGGCAGCACAGCTTTTGTGACAAACACCCTTTGTTGGCCGCTCATTATGGAGTCACTGTTCGTGTATTTTCTGCAGCCACACAAAATGCGTCATATGAGAGAGTGTTTTTTACGTTCCACGGTGACTAGGCGGTATGCTTCGGAGGTATGCTTTCGCCTAAGTCGAGCATCCCAACTGTACATAAACTGGAGACATTTTTAGACAATACAAACCCAGATGGGCATCCCTTCTCGCTTTTCATCTCTTTTCCAAGCCAGTCCAAGAAACTGTCTGACCACTTTGTCTGAAGCAGCTATGCTTCTCCACTATGAGTCCCATCATGTCCCATCCTCAGTCGTGTGAAAAAACGTCAGGGCCCTTCTGGGCCAAAAGAAAAACGACGACGCGACCAGTCCAAAGCGATCCAAGGGACGAAACACCTCTTTTTCATCGGCTTTTTTCACCGGTTTAACACTTGAAGGCTGGAGTCACCAACGCTCAAGGCATCTTTGAGACCGACCTGGGAAAGTTCATTTCAACGGCCTCTCCACGACTCCACGGCCTCGACGGAGCTCTTTTGTGTACTGTTCGAAGAGCTCTTTGACACCTTGGGTCTTCTCATCTCTGCGCCTGAGGCTGACGAAGCGTATGGAAAAGCTGTTGATGTCCTTCGAGGCATGTGGAAATGCGTTACAGTAAAGGGTTCACTGAAAATTCAGATGCGGCGTGCCATCCCACAAAGAGAAGCTTTGAGTGCGACGTACGTCACAACTCGATTCTCGGTAACCGCACACACCAAACCATATGGCAAGGGACACGTATCCAACACGACCCGCAAAGCAACAGCGTTCCCGGTCACTACCAAGGCATTCCCCATCCACGGAGCCTTCTCCCGGGGATCACTCTCACAACGTGCCCCTGTCATCCCCCGGTCATGCCACCTGGAGCTCTCAAGGAGCTCCGAACGCCAGCTAGCCTCAGGACGTCCCGCCCATCCTACCTGTTCTACCCTATTGGTTTTGAGCTGACAATGTGCCAGCCGGTGGATTGCATACGCAGAGATGCAGGGGGTGCATAAAGGGACCCACGCCCATAGCTATCAATAGCTGTTGGAGGAAACATTGTCATCTGGTTCTTCTGGCAAAAGAAGAGTTCTCTGATGGAAAATAATACTGTATATCTTATATATGTATATATAGTATATTATATATTATCAAATCTATTAAAATCTTGTCAGAATAAACAACCTGTTTCAATCACCATTGCACACAAGAACTATGTAGACAATGACTTACATGAGCTTGAAGCGTGTGTCTGAAGTTTGGAGTCTGATTCTTGAAGAATGATCCTTCTGGTAGGCACCCGCATTCAACATCACAGAACATTTCAGGTTGAACACTGTCTGAAGCAACACAGTCAAGACTTCCTATGTAGAGACTGTAGACAGTATTCATTTCAAAACAAGGGCGTCTCAGGCCATCTCCTAGCGCTTTCCAATCGGCTGCAATGTCTGCAGAGTATCAAGACCAGAGAGAGATAGAAAACACAAAAAGAGATTGCACGCATTGTTTGAGGATTCAATAATAATACTAATGTGTGTAATTATGTGTATATATATACTGTGCATCTAAGTTGGATGTTCCATCTGTACCATCCCCTTGTGTTCAGCAACTTTCCGACACGAACGAGAACCTCAAATGAGCACCTCCCATTGCGGACAGGACTCTTTCTGGATAGCAGAAAGAAGACTTGCTTCAACACCTAGGTCGAGCGAACATTTGAGAAGGTCATCTATTCTAGACTACACAATGCAAGGAAAAACAGGGGTGTACATTCATGGTGCCACCATTGATTCACCATACCCCGGATTTCCTCAACAACTTTCTAGCCACCGAGGTGACCCAGGGCCCTGATGCTCAGTGATGCTTTGTTTATGCGGCAAGGGCCCTCTATATCTGGGATGCGATGGCACTTGCCATTCAGCCTGGTCACAGGTCTCAGTTGCATCGTCAGGCATAGGACCAACCAGCAATCGCCGGTGCGCTCTGTAGCATGTCACAAATGTGGCTTGGGGGATGGTGCAAGTAGAGACCATCGACAGTCGACTGATTTTCCCACTTCTACGTAGCTTCGTGTCCAGGACGTCCATGCAATGCAATGCATGTCACTTGGCTTGGTCTGGTGGTTCCAAATTGATTCCTCGTTCCAATGATATCTTTAGAATTCAGAATGTAAATGGGGGCCAGTTACGGCCACTTCATGTGGGTCATTCAGCAAAAAGGCCAGCCGCCTTGACGGAAAATGCCAGCGGTGATTGCAATTCAAGTCAACCTGAAGCTTTCATGAATCATCTGTTGGAATCGGTTGCTGTCTTCAACGAGCACCGTCCTGTGTCTGTGGCAAAATGTTCAGAAAAAATATATCTATTATGTATACAGTACTTAAGTAGAGCAGTCAAAATGGGTCCACCTCAGAAGGAGAGGACGTTGAATGTCAGAAGCTTTGAAAGGAGCAACATGGAACAGCCAACATCAACCAACCAAATCGATTGCGTCGGAGGCTTCCTATGTTGAGGGAGACCCAAGTATTCCCAACCTCACAGCCATCTTCCACTGCTGCTGGGAGGCGTTCGCATATCAACCAGGTGAGGATCTATGATTCTAGGCGCAGGAATAAATCGCAAAGAGCCTTGATCAAGCGACTCTCAACATCTGCAAAAGTCAAGTCGTTTGTTCCCCACCTGCCAGGTGAGGGTTGTTAGATTTTATGTTAGCTGACTTCTCCTTCTCCTCCTCCTCCTCCTTCTTCTTCTCCTCCTCGCCGGACCTCAACCACGACCATCCACGCCCAGTGTTCCCTGCCGGACCTCAACCACGACCATCCACGCCCAGTGTTCCCTGCCGGACCTCAACCACGACCATCCACGGCCAGTGTTCTCTGCCGGACCGCAACCACGACCATCCACGCCCAGTGTTCCCTGCCGGATGTCTTGGCTCCACACCTTGGATTGGTTAAAGACAAACTGGCAGTGGTCGTGAAAGTGGATTTGCACCATGAAGATCAGAAGCGCCTTGACCGTCGGGAAGCTGGATTCTGTCATTTTTTTCCGGAATACATGGCCAGAGGTATTTGGGTGAAATTACGTAAAGGAAAGAATTCGCCCATGGAAGATGCTCTGTTGCAGACGTGGGAAGAAAAGTTTCAGAATGTGGGCGAACACACAACTGACACAAAGACATTGTTCTTTGTGGAATTGGTGCATGCAGAGTTCAAAATTGATTTGAAGCTAGGCGAGGAAACCGAGAAAATTGAAGTGATTCGCTGGCAATTTCCTCTTTTGCATGGCATGCTGCGCACTGCTTACCGTGCGCAAGGCTTGACTGTGGACCAAGGCGTGCTGGTTGATTTGCGTCGTGCTGGTGGCCTAGAGGATGCTGACTGGTGGCTAGCCATCTATGTCATGCTGACACGTGCCCGCAAACTGAAGAATCTCATCTTGCTGGGGTTCACGGAGCAAGTGGAAGAGCCTTTACGCAGAGGCCCTCCTACCTACTTGCGAGAACTGACTGACAAGTTGGAAGCCAAAGCTGCTTCGACGCTGGAGCGGCTGCAGTCCTGGCCTCTCTATGATGCATTGCAAACATCCTGACACAGTGCTCTGCCAGTGGGACCTAATCGGTTTTCACTGAAGCGGTCTGGTGGAGCAATAGAGAGTTGCAGCTGCACCGATCTGGTGAAGTAAAACTGGCATGGTTGCGCAAACATGTTTGACAGGCGGTGTGCTGACATGTTTGGGCATGTTTAAGCAAATCTGTCGAGAGATCTGGAGATTATTTCGCATGGCCCACTGACATGTTTATAACTTGTTTGACAGACTGACATGCGCAATGACCTGCCAGGTGAAACAAATGATTTGGCTCAGGTGGTCCACTGCCATGTTTGGTCATATTTAAGCAAACCTGTTGAGAGCTCTGGAGTGTACTTCACACGCCCCACTGACATGTGTATATACTGTTTGACAGACTGACATGCACAATGACCTGCCAGATGAAACAAATGATCGGGATAGTTAGTTACGCAAAAGTCGCGTGACAAAAGCTTCAGACAAAAGTGGAGTCAACAAGCTGTTTTGAAATGTCATGGTGGGGATCACTCGAAGTAAAGTAATTTTTTTAATATGTATAAAGTAAAAATATAATTAATAATATTATGCATAGGATTATTGAATAATGGTGATGTTTCGTAATTAGATTTCTTGGTCCTACCTTGAAAGGCCTTTCGGTACAAGCAAATGCCTTGAGCCTCGCAAAAAGCAAGAAGCTCCTGAAAGTGGGAGTGGTGTTTGATGCGCTTCACCGGCTGCCCCTGAGCGCTGAACAGTGAATGTGCCGCCAAACAAAAAACATACTATGCCAACTTCGACTAATGGGAGATCTGCTCTCTGATGCATCCAAAGAAAGATCCAAAAACCAATGGATTTGACTGCCTTCAGGCCTTCAGAGATTAGATTCAGAATGTATTTGTCAAGCAAAAAACTGTCTTCTGATGCCATGGGAACAATTTGGACCAGTCGACAAATGGGACTAGCTCTTGAGGTTTCGACCAGCTCTTGAGCCCAAATCTCTGCCACCTCCGCCGAGAAGCCTCGGGTGTAGGTCGAATGCCTCTGAAAGACATGCAAATCAACACAAATGTAACCTTTGTAACATTTGACAGGTTTCACATGGTTTCACCATATTTCACCCATCTTCAACCTGCCACTCCCACCTTGCAGAGGCATCTCTGGTGTCTCGTCTTCTGATTCCTGCATCAGTTGGTGTGACTGGCAGCCTTGTTTTCTGCCAAAGTCTCAAACCTCGAAAGCAGCTCAGACATGCTACCGACGGTAGTCAGTGGTAGCCTGCCTTCAAAGTACTAGTAGGACCCCAGAAAGGAGTGTCTGGAGTCTGCATGGTCGGTCGATCAGTCCCGACGGACCGGCTTCAAACCGTCCACCTCGGTGAGGAGCGTCCGCAGCTCGCCGCGGGCCACCTATGGGGATCCGAAGTCAAAACACAAAAAACATGTGAGGTGAGGTAGTTCAAAAAACAAAGTACCGAAAGAAGTGGCCTCGGGGATCCCTGGGGTCTGGCGACCCATTTTGCGAGAAGAACTAGGTGAGCAACTGAGAACACAGCTGGACTCGGGCATGTTTGCTGATACAATGGAGCCGGTTTTAGATGGTTTGGAAGGTTCATGAGCGACACAAACAGACACGCGAAAAGAAATACGCTGGCATGTTCAGAATCCAACTGCATGTTAAGTTGCTTGGGGACCGTCGTTCGTTGCTTCGGGGGAATCAGCGCAGAAGAAGTGTTTTTGACCCTTGCGGACCTCTGAAGAATTGGTTGTTCAGAACTAAGAGAGGGTATAAAACACGTCTTGTTTGTTTTTTTGCGTTGTTAGTGGCAACATACGAGACCCAAAGGACTATTTCATAGGTTTGTTTGTCTCGTGAGTGGTGAGTGAACGGCCATGGTAAAAGCTTTGTAGACGTTGTAAGCCTTTGTAAGTTTGTTTGTAATTCAACAACTCTGTCAACTCTTTGCAAAAGTTGCAAACTTTGTACAAATTCTTAAGACTTTGTGAAAGTTTTGTAAACTTTGTATAACTTTGTAAAAATAAAAGACTTTGTAAACGTTCTGAAAACTGTGTAAAACGTTGCTCTAACTTTGAAGGATAATTTGAAGAACTCCAAAACTTCGTAAAAAGGTTTGTAAACCTTTTTACAAAGTTTGCGAATTTTACAACATCTTAATAAAGTTTTGCCAAGTTCTTACACAGTTTTACAAGTTTAAAGGTTGACAAAGCTTACAAAGTTTGACAAAGTTTAAAAATGTTTTACAAAGTCTACAAAGTGTTGACAAAGTTTACCAAGTTTATACCAAGTTCACTACGTTTTTACAAAGCTTTCAAAGTTGGTACAAAGTTTACAAAGTTTTACACAGATTTTATGAAGTTTGCAAAGTTTTACAACCGTTTACCAAGTTTACAATTTTTTACAAAGTTTACAATATTTTAACACAGTTCACAAAGTTTTGAACAATTTCCAAAGTTTACCCAGTTTACAAAGGTTTTACCATTAAAAAATCAATTAAAGACGTATTGAAAGTTTTACAATGTTGCTGCAATGTTGACAAAGTTTTTACAAAGTTTACACAGTTTTGCAAAGTTTTGAAAGTTTACAAAGCTTGTACAAAGTTTATAAAATCTTTACAAAGATTGCAAATTTTACAATTTTACATGGAGTTTTTTCAAAGTGTACAAACATTTGCAAACTTTACACAGTATTTACATAGTTTACAAAGCTTTCACAAATTTTGCAAAGTTTATACAGTTTACAGTATTGAAAGTTTACAACGATTTTAGAAAGCTTTGGAATTTGACAAAGTTCTTGCAAAGTTCGGAATTTACACAGTTTTTCAATTCTTACAGAGTCTACAAAGTCTCACAAAGTCTTTACAAAGTTTTCAAAGTTTTTACAAAGTTTACAAAGTTGTACAACGTTTTTACAAAGTTTACAACAGCTTTTTCAAGTTTACAAAGTTTTTACAAAGTTTACAAAGTTTTTACAAAGTTTTTACACAGTTTACAAGGTTTTTACAAAGTTTACAAAGTTTTTACAAAGTTTACAAGGTTTTTACAAAGCTTACAAAGTTTTTACAAAGTTTACAAAGTTTTTACACAGTTTACAAGGTTTTTACAAAGTTTTTACAAGTTTACAAAAGGTTTTCAAGTTTGCAAAGTTTTTACAAAGTTTACAAAGTTTTTACAAAGTTTACAAAGTTTTTACAAAGTTTACAAAGTTTTTACAAAGTTTGCAAATGGCTGGTGAAAAACACTTATGTTTACAACAAATGACATGAAAAACACTTCTTTTCAAGCAAAAAATCGTGCAAAAACACTTCTTTCACAGAACTTTACAAAGTTTTACAAAGTTTTTACAACGTTTACATAGTTTACACAGTTTTTACAAAGTTTACAAAGTTTTTACAAAGTTTACAACGTTCTGACAAAGTTTGCGACATTTGCCTTTCGTTACACAAATTTACAAAGTTTTTACAAAGTTTACAAAGTTTTGAAGATTTTGGAAAGTTCACAAAGATTTTGCCAAGTTTACGAAGTTTTGCAAAGTTTACAGAGTTTCGACAAAGTTTACAAAGTTTTGACAACGATTACAAAGTTTTGATAGTTTATTTATTTGCAAAGTTTACAAAGTTTCTTTCTACATTTTACAAAGTTTTTACAAAGTTTGTACAGTTTCACAATTTGTACAAAGTTTTGACAAAATTTACAAAGTGTTCAAAGTTTACAAATTTTTTACAACGTTCACAAGGTCTTTCAAAATGTTTACAATGCTTTGACAAAGTTTACGAAGTTTAAAAACGTTTTACAAAGTTTGCAAAGTGCTACGAAGTTTATAACGGTCTTTTTTTTAAATAGAGTTTACGAAGGCCTACAACATCTAAAAGTTGTTTACAAAGTTTACAAAATGTTAGTACAAAGTGTACAAAGTTTGCAATGTTTACAAACTTTTTGACAAAGTTCACAAAGTTTTGACAAAGTTTACAAGTTTTCGCAGTTTTTTACACAGTTTTACAAAGTGTACAAAGTTTTTACAAAGGTTTACGAAGTTTAAAGTGTTTCAGTGTTTAAAAAAGTTTACAATCTTAACAACAGTTTACGAAGTTTTGACAAAGTTTGCAAAATTTGTTCAATCTTTACACAGTTGTTGCAGAGTTTTGAAAGTTTACAAAGTTTTAGAATTTCACCAAAGTTTCTACAAAGCTTACACAGCTTTTACAAAGTTTACAAAGTATTTACAAAGTTTACAAAGTTCTTACAAAGTTTACAACGTTTTGCAAAGTTTTCAAAAAATAAAGTTTACAAAGTTTTGAAACAGATTGAAAAAAACGAAACTTTGTAGAAAGTTTGTAAGCATCAAACACTTTTGTAAAAGCTTTGTAAAAACTTTCAAACTCAATAACTTGGTAACAACTTTGTAAAAATCCAAAACTTGTTCAAAGCTTGATAAATGTCCAAAGCTTTGTTCAGATATCTAAAGGTTCAATACTTTGCAAAAACTTCGTAGTTCCAAAGTTTTGTAAAATTCAATGTACTGTAAGTTTCCAAAACTTTGTGAAGTTTGTTATTTCTATCTTTAAACTTTGTAGACTTTGTTAAAACTTTGTAATGCAAAAACTCGGTAAAAAAAAGTTGTAATTCCAAAACTTTGTCAAATTTTTGTAAAGATCCAAAACTTTGTAAACACTTTGTAGGAAGTTTGTTTGAAGACCTGCGAAAGCTGTTCAAGAAGAGCTGATCTTTGGATCAGTGAGACTGCTTGCATTTTTTGTAAAAAAAACGGCATTTGGTGCTTGCGCTTTGGGAATTTGTGACTGATGGCTGTAGTGTTTCAGGGTATTGAGGGTGAGAAGAAGGGTCGAATGGTTATTGGTTGTGCAAGTGTTTTAAGACTTGGCCACGGAAACACCAAAACACTTCTTTCATTTTTTCCAAATAACATTGGTGCAAAACACTTCTTGCGAGCAAAAACACTAAACTCAAGCAACTTAACACAACTGCAACACGGACAAAAATGAAGATATATTCAGAATTGAACTGTTGTGCATGTCCTTTCCTTTCGTGATTCATGTTGCACGGACTTGATCGTTCTAGCGTGTTTTAGTCTTGATTGGCCAAACAAAAAACTATTCAAAACACAAACTTTCTCCAACTTCCTCAACGCTGGAAATGCCTTGCCAGACGCCGTCCATGGCAAGGAGTTTGTGAGAACGACACGAGGCCGCATGCCTCGTGGCACCTGGAGGAATCCACAGAGGTGCACCTCTTAGCCCGACTGGTCGTGGATAGATTCAAAATAGCTCCAAATCAGGCCCCCGGCATGTAAAGACCCTGATGAACTGCGGAACACCGCCACTCATGGGCAAGGAGGTCTCCATTGAATGATACTGTGGTGGCGCTATGGCCTGGTGGATGTTCAATGTGAAATTGCAATATTGGATGATGGCCCGCGACACAAACTTTTTGGGGTATAGTAATGTGTCCTAAACATCAAGGTCATTGAGTCATTTGATAGGCTCTCCGATTCGTGTCAGCAACCATCCGCTTTCCAGCTCTGGGAACATGACGAGACAAACTGCAAACTCGGTCGATTCTCAGAGGAACCATGGGTCAACTATCAGAACTATATCTTTTCATTCAAGGCGTTGAGGGACAAGTCGACCAGCACACGGAGGTGTTCAAAGCGGGAAGGTTACTCGGAAAGCAAGGTACTGTAAGACGTTTATGCTCATTTTTTTCAGGAACTCAGACACTTCCTTAGAGAGCACGAGGTCCATTAATGCCATTGGAGCTATGCAAAAAGCCTCACCTCTTTCTCGGAGAGGTAACGAATCACCGCGCCTCAGGCTGCGAGTCGCCAGAACCAACGTACACAAAGCAAACTATCCAGCGTGCGCTCTAGGCAGGCTCAACATTCACGACAACTCAATGATTTCTGATTATCGCTATAGTTTCAAAGTAGATCAAAGTAGTAGAGTAGTGTATATAGGGCGCAAAGGGAATGTTGGCACATATCATGTCACATATCCAAATATCACACACGGGGGCACATCCCCCTTGAGATAGCCACAGTTTAGAACCAAATTAGGGTCAGCTGCGAGCTCTCTGTACCAAGGAAGTCACATGATTTCATAGGACAGCTGCAGATATATATAACTCTGTGCGTCAGGTTACGGTTGACGCACACAGTGCCTGGGCACCCCTCACGCAGCACAGACGCCACGTTGCTCTCCCTCATCTCTGTCAGCAAGAGATCGGATGGCCTTGGCACTGATTTCCACTGAATTCCTTTTGATATCTAAAGAATCTAAAGTGTCGGTAGCAACCGGAATCGTACTGTCCACACGCTCTTTTCACTGCGAAAGCAAGCACGGTATAGCTCAAGGGCCCTAGGAGCCAAACGGCGGCAGACACAACATAGTGTGACAACCTGGCTCAACAGAATGAGATCCTACCTCAAATTCACACTCAACCTGTTCTACAGGTGTCACACGGCTATACATTGAAACTCTTGTGTCTTCCTAAGGCATTGGAGAAATCTACTTCTGCTTCTGTACAGTGTATTGGCACTCCTTCAGCACTCGAAGTAGCAGATCTGGCTTCATGGACTTCGTCAAACAGTCCGACACCATCGTACTGGTGGCGATCCAGATCAACTTGTCTCCTCCATTCTCGAAAGCAATCCATGTTGGTCTTCCTTCTTGCCACAAATTCTCATGGATTCCTTGTAACTCGATACCAAGGCGCTTGTCACTCACCTTGGCCAGGACTTCCTGATTGAGGTGGTCAGAAAGCGAACGGCAATCAGTCATCGCCAAATGCGGAATGCATTCACGGGCATCATCTTCCCATGTCTTCAAACTGCGAATCTTGCCCTTGATCTCCGCAATCACACCTCTCAGCTTGTCACCTGTCTCGAGTCCGTTCTGGAGGGAATACGTTTCGGCCTGGAGAGTGCTGCGGCAGACTCTCTTAATTGTCGTGGATCCAAAAGACAATGGCATCACCTTATAGGTGGTCGTCTTGTCATCTTTGATCTCCTTGAGATCACCCAGAAAATGGATCCTGCCCTGTTGCGACTTGTAGTTCTTCTCGTTGGAGAAGGAGGCATCTGTGACCGTGATCACACCAACTTCACTCCATTGGAGATGAGCCGCAGGAAAACACAATGCCACATCGTGACCTTTGTGTGCCAGGACAACGACTGCGTTAGCGTCTGCCAACGTGGACACAGTTGCATCTTTAATGCTAGACTGCAAACGGCTTACCCTGTAACCAAGGTCAGGCCTGGTCTGTCTCGAGATCCAGGCGAGCGATCCGGTGATCGATCTGAGCTTCGTGATGTCTCCTTGCTGAAGACGCTCACTGCCTAGCCTAGATCCAACATCTGCTCCATGAATCTTCCTAGTGTTATCTGCTGTGTCGACTTTGATGACCTTGTCATCTCCTCGCACGAACTGCTTCCCACAATATCGAAAGCTGTTAGTGTCTGAGCTGCCGACACTGAACTTGGCAAGAAAAGACTTCATCACTTCCTCGCCTTCCGGAAGAAAACTATAAAGCAAGTCGTCCACGTGAGTGCACATGAGGGCACAAGCATCTCCTCCCTGCTCACCTGGGAGGTAGTACAATCCTGGGAAAAACTGGCTTGCCTTCAGGCCGCTCTTACGTGCATCGGCATCCAAACGCAACCAAAAGCCTCTTCCTGAGTCCGTGATTCCATACACAGGGACCCTCACGAGAAAAAGGACATTGGGTTCTACACCTGGCAAACCTCCTCTTGGCTGACGCATGAGAAGGACGCGATCCAATGGTCGTCCCTGGAAATACGCCGAGGTGATATCAGCTGAATGGATGTCGGCCTGATGACAGGCTGCCCAACTGCAGACGAGACAGTGCATCTCGACATCGGCCGTTGGACTATCTGACCTCAAACCCTCTGTCATTTCAAAGTTCCCGCACGAAACTAGTCTGCTTTTATACATGGGCTTGTAGTCAGGGTCTCTCCCCTTCTTGTACTCTGCCTTGTCTACATCCACCCATTTGGATGGAATGCATTGGTGCCCTTCGTCAATGAGCTCTTGCGCTTGTTCTGGGGTCAATGCCACTACTGCTCCGAAATCTTCAAATTTGGACCATTCCTTTTGCCTTGTTTCCTGCAGGGCTTTCTGCACTTCTGGAGGCGCAGACTCATAGTGAATGCTCTTTAGAACCTTCTTACCTAGCTCTGCTTCATCCTCAGTCTGGGCAAGAAAACTAGTCCACATGGCATGTGCTTCTTCTCGATCTTGCTCTGGCAGCTCTCCGTCTCTCTGGCGTGCTCTGTCAAAATGTTCTCGAAGAGAAGCTGGCAAGTCGTTCAAATGATCATACACATTAGGCCATGCATGTGGAGCACTCCTGGATTCCCTGCGGGATGGTTGCAATGAGGTACCGCGTTCACTCTCCGGTTCGGCGACACGGGGCCTCACATTGCGGCTATGCTCATTTCCTGCGTCAGGGAACGGACGTGAAACGGAGCTAGCAGACCTACTCAACTCTTCAAGCGCATCTTCACCTTCGGATTGGTCTTCATCAAAGAAATCCGGTCTGATCCCTACATCTAACTCATCATCTTCTGGAACAGGAGGTAGTGAACCAGCATCCGGAAATTGGGGTTCGGTTTCTTGAGATTCGATGTGTATTGGGGATCCGGGTTCGCTCGGATCTGCACGTGCATCAAGAAAAGACTGCTGAACACCTTCCTTGACAACGTTTTCGGGAAAGACAGGCTCACCATGCAAAACAGCATGAGCTAGTGCTTCGGTCGGAGTAGCAATCTTCACATTTTGGTTGGCGACCAACACTGGAACATTTCCACACAACAACCACAAATTCCTTTCACCTTCATGGCCTATCACCCGACTAGTGGGACTCCATGTGGTGCCCCCCTTTTGATTGTCTCGACGAAAGGTCACTAAATCACCTACTGCATACTCCCGAGGAAGACTGGAAGCATTGCGAGTAAGCGCACGGGACACCCTTGATGAACAGTCTAGGTGAACAAATGCTTTCTGAGCTTCCTGCCTGGCCATGTGCTGTAAGGCGAAAATGCTCTCTGGGTTGTGACGGGCTTCAATAGCTCCAAGCTCGGCAAACCGTTCTTCAGACAATGGACTCGGATCCGATCGGGGTCCTTTCCCAAGTACCCATTGACTAGGCGAGAAACCTCCGACTCTACTAGAGTTGTTCTTGGTAGCTACTACCTCGAGCAGTACCTGCTCAACCTGTTCTCTGCCAACAGCGCCTGTCTCTTTGCAAACCTTCCTAAAGAGTGACTTGACGATGCCTCCATGACGTTCTACACGACCAAGATTCTCCGGACTTTCCAGAGGGGTGTGGTACACTTGGATTCCATGTTCATCCATGTACTTCTTCATGACACCTCGGTTGTGCAGACCTCTGTCACATGCAATGTTCACAGGATGGCCACACCATGAGAACCAACGCTTCCTCAGTGCTTTCAGACATTCGGCAGAAGACGGTTGACCGGCACCAAAACGAACAACTTCACATAGCTGAAAAGTAGTACCCAAGCAAACCATGTTCAACACTTGGAACTTGTCACCTGAAATGTCGTGAACTTCAAACACATCAATTCCTACAGTGTGGTTGAACGAGTAGTTGTTAGGCAATGCTGTCTTGTGCGTGGCCTTCTTCTGGGATGTTGCTTCACAAGTTTCGCATCTGTGGATCCTGACAGCATCAATGAATTCCTTTCGAACCTTTGCTGCACGAAGGAGATGGATCATCGTCTGCTTGGGGACGTGTCCAAATTGCCTATGCAATCTTCTCACACCAATCCTCACACGTGCAGGCAACTTGCGCCACATCCGGCGTCGTTCGGCTTCATCTGCTGGCAGGCCTGGGATGTCTACTTCATCGACCAGTGTCTCTTCTGAGATCAGGTCTTCTACTGGGTTCACCTGAGCACGGTCATCATCATCCCAGATAGCATCGAACTGCTGTTCATCGTCCATCACTTCTTCCTGCAGTTCACCAACAAATGCAATAGACATCTCATCATCCAAAGTTGTATCATTGGTCCATTCACCTAACCAATCAACAAACTGCCAAGACAAGACATCATTCATGGTCTGTCCTCGAAACCACGATTCGAAAGCTCAGTCCACTTGGGATCATTGCAGGTGAATGCCAAGTCATGGTCGTTGATATGGGGAATCTGTGGAAATTCATGTTCCTCCCATCTCGGGGTAGTTGCAACGTCAATGTGCAAAAACCGGCTACCACTCATGTCACAATGGGATTCTACTTCACCCAAAATCTTACCATGTCTCAAAGGATCTGTACTCTGTTCATACTCGATGGCAATGACGATGTTCTTGTAGTCTTGCAAAACATCATACCAAATCTTGGAGTCCTCGTCAGGATTGAGGTACTCAGCTCCCACACCGACGTCAAAAACGTCTGCAACACCATCTGCTGCTTGAAGCTCCTGAAAGATGCGGGGATGCGAAGTAATGACCAAGGTTGGAGGCTCAGAAACTGGGACGTCTTTCAAACCAATGCTGGATTTGACCAATGCATCTTGATGGTTCAATCGGTCAATCCCCTCCAAGACTGCCCTCCTATGCTTCTTACCCATGGTGGTTCTCTCATTGGGGTCAATTTGCAAAGGAATGGACAAGACTCCTGAACTACTTGGCTGTGCATTGGGATCTGGAGGGACTTCCGAATCGGTTTCATTGCTATCATCCAAATTGATCTCAACCTGTTCTCTCCTATCGAGGTCCCATGCCATGTGCGCTACTGGCTCGTAACTTGCGGACTCTGTGGATGCGGGACTGGTTGGCGATTGTGGCTCAGACTCTGGACGAACAGTTTGAGAAGTAATGGACCCTTCTGGTGTTCTTGTGTCCTCGGAACCTGACGTCCTGGATGATTCCCTAAGTCTCCTAGGCTTTGGGGGTGTAGGCGGCACGAACGAGCGAATCTCGGACCTTGGGGCCAAAACCACTCTCGGCTGCAGCGCCATATAGCCTTGCGAAGCACGGTGAGTGAAACTGATGACGTCGGACCACGGCTCTGAGACATTGGCCATGTCTGCTACAGGCGCTCCATTCTGGATGCGCTCCCAGGTTGCTCCGGGTTCACGTTTTCGAACGTAGACCGACTTGATCCAACCCCATTTTGTCATCCAGCCTGCTTTCGTGACTGCTGAAGTGTAAACTCCACCCCTGATCTTGATGTCAACTCGAACTCCAAACCATTGTTGGTCTTTGGCTGGCAGATTGCGATTCACAAGCCACAAAGTGCGGTCACGGTTTCCCCAATCCCTAGCTGCGCCGGCCAGAACATGGAGAAGTTCAGGATCCACCTGGTCAACCTTCGGCACCCCATCATTGGTCAAAAGGACCCACAACTCATCTTCCAAAACTGGACGTTGATCTTCATCGTACCTGGACTTGGTCAAGAGTTGGGGCGGCGGACGATTTGGTGGTGGTGGATGATCAGGAGTGCGCGGACTCGCAGGCTTCGGCGGAGGTGGAGGAGTCTTCGGCATCGTAGGAGCTGTCTTCACTGTTGATCTGGTCGGACGAATCGGACTCCTAGACCTAGTTGGCCTCTGGTTGGGTTCTGACGTACCAGCTGACTTCCTCCTCCTCAATGGACTACGGGACCGTGGATTGCGATTTGCAAGCGTCGTCACGGCATCTGTCAACCTCTTGAGGGCTTGCAGAATCTCTTGGCTTCCGCTCGAAGTCTCTTCCGCTGGAATCTCTGGCTCTTCAACCTCAACCTCTTCTATCTCTTCTCCAACCTCTTGTTCGTCCAACTTGATGTCGTCTTCATGGCTGTCATCATCATCAAAATCCGGAACCGGCCTCACAGGCGAGGTCACGGCAGCGCTCGGCATTGGTTTGCTCTTTCGAGATGCCACGGCGTCACTCGCCTTCGGCGGTCGTGAAGATGAAGATGGCCTCGAAAGTACTGGAGGGCAGGCTTTTGGTGGAAGTGAGCGGGCTTTTGCACTAGTGCTGCGAATAGCCTCTTCTCGTGTCGGTGGTGGTGCTGTTGAACGCTCACCGGATCGCCACGGCACGTGGTCGTCCGCATCATCTCGAACAGCTCTTGGAGTGTGAACATTCTTTGTATGTGCTGGAGTCAATGTCACAGTTGTATCGCCATAAAGCGGCCCACAAAGAGTGCAACTTCTTCCACACGACATCTCACGCCATTCAGGCGAGTGAGAATGAATCACAACACACGTGAAGCCCTTCGAAGCAAGATGCCTGTGGATCAACATGCTTCCGCCCACAGAACGATGACGCCCTGACTTGCAGCGCACGTCCAAAACTCCCTTGTCATGGTGCTCCACAAAGTCGTCCACCTCACGAAAGATGCGGTCAAGACCTCTCTGATCCCTCCTAAGACCATTCAAAATGGCCGGATGCCTTCCCACGTGTCCACGCAACGAAGGATCTTGATCGGGATCCCACAGCGACTTGGCGTTGATGTACTTCACGGGGATATCACTGCCAACATGCTCTGACAACCTGTCTTCAAACCGGTCACCTCCTGTGACCAGCAAAAACTCACGGCTCTTCAAATTGCCAATGATGTTGCCAAGCGCACGATGGATACCTTCGGCAGTCTGGGCTTGGTACCCTCGCTCTGCCGTATCCAATCTCTCCATCGGAGTATTGAAGGCTGTGAGGGCGACACGAAATTTGCGATGACACTTTGGGATCTTTTGGGGCATGGTGGCTTCAAGACTTTGGACCAATTGTTGAGGGGTAATTGCCAACATCATCAAACCGGTGTGTATGCATCTGAACACTTTGAGGCGTTTTCCATTGATGCTAATGATACCATTCTTGAGGTCCTTTACTAGTCCCAAGTGTGCCTGAGCGTGGAGAGACAAAAGCAGCGGAGATCGACCTTTCGACAGCTGGTGGGATTCAAGGACGCCATGCACTGGATCTCCCTCGTCGAAGTGCAACGAAAAGGGTAATGTGCGGGATCCTTCTGTAGTGGTCCCTTTTTCACCCAATCCGGCAAAGTTCTTCGATGTCGTGGTCGAAAAAGGGAAGTCGTATCCTAGCTTCTTCAACTTGGCCTCAACAACGTCTCCCCAGTGCTTCGAATGGCAGGTGGAATTACATCCCTCGTCGAGAACGACGTAGATGTTCCCGTCGTCTGGGCTGTACATGTCCCTGGCTTCGTGAAATATGTGCACCAAACCATCTGTCATCTGGGTAGGTTCCTCCCCATGAAAACAAATGCCGATCCCTGCAAATGGGTCTGGATCTTCGGTGTAATCAACCATGGTGAACGAGTCTCCTTTGCTCTCTTCGATGGACTGGTGGAGGAGCTCGTGCAGCTTGATCGAAGTCACTGCCTCGGTTTCGGCTGCCAACGCGACTTGGGCGGCAAATTCAGTCAAAATCTTCTCTAGCATCTCGGGGGTGTGTCCTTCTTCGGGTTCCTCTTCAACCAAACGTTCAATCATTGGGATCCTATCGAGCGGTGCGTTGACGACTTTCTCAGAGGCTGCCTTCCTAGTCTTTTGGAGCTCCATCGGAGTCTCATCCAAAAACGAACAACAAAGCTTGCAATACACACGGTGAACAGATCTGGAAGAACCTCGAAAATCGGTGTCCGAGTGCGGGCAATCGTCATATGCAAACTTCGGGGCTTGCTCTCTACGCTCGGTGGTGGAGTTCCCACAGACAAGGCATGTCTTCTTGATGGTGTATGCTGTGCTCCCTTGTTTGGTGAACTCGGAACAATTCCTGCATTTCTCTTTCGGTGGATATGGTGGTTTCTTCCTTGCGGACCCTTTTGGGATTGGCTGCAATGACGATGAAGAAGAAGCACCACCAACCTTCCTGAAAACTGAAGCTCCCCTATATTCAAAATGCTGATCAACCCACGTGACAAAAGCCGAAGCGATTGGACTCTTGCCATTCTTGATGGCCCATTGGTGGTAGTCAGGATGTTCATGAAGGATCTGCCAAAATGTCTTCCCCCTGAACTGTCCAGCTAAGAACTTCCTATCGCTCCCCTCAGGCCTTACGAGGTCGTTGGGACTCACTGGTGCCTCCGGACGAACTCCTGAGCTGGCCTTCACGGCCATGTGAGCAACGCTGTCGGTTGGAGACGCCGCACCTAGAAAAATCCCTTCGTCCTCGGATGAGTCACTCATGTGGGCAATGTGTGCAGCAGGTTTCGGGGCCGATCCAGTCTTCGGGGCATTGGGCATCTTACATTGGGGGTCTCCGGCCCAGTGACCTAAACCACCACAACGAAGACACTTGGATTTCGCCTTGATCTCTGACAGTTTCTGTCGACGTTGCTCGATGCTAAGGTGAGACTTCACTATCTTACCTTTGCCTTTACCTTTCCCCTTGAATTTATCCTTGCCTTTGCCTTTTGCCTTCCCGAAAGCGACGAATGCGGCAAGCTGCAATTGGATAGCATCACCTGAGGAACGTTCTTCGGCATCTTCGCAATCAACTACTGCATTCAAGGCAATTGCTTCATATTCATCAACATCATCATGATACTCAAAATCTTCGTATTCTGGATGGCTAGCATGTTCGTGTTCTTCAGACTCTTCAATCCCTCCTAGCATGCCTACGAAAGAATCTTCTTCATGATGATGCTCCTGCAAGTCCTCGTCTCTCCAATCGAAATTGTCTTCCCAATCGGGATAGATGGCATTGTAACCAGCACGAGTGTATTGGCTACCTTTACCTTTACCTTGGTACCCCTTCTGGTACCCCTTGCCTTTGCCTACCTGAGGCTGAATTCCCCGTCCTGTCCAGGATCGGGATCCTTCACGAAGATGGATTCCACTGTAGTTGTCAACCAGGACTCGTGCAGTACCTTCGAAGTCATCGTTCTTGCGGCAAGCCTTCACCACAAGGATCTCCTGCCTGGAGATACCTGACATCTCCAACAATAGCTCTGTGCGGAAAGCTTCTGAGATCATCATTGTGGGGTCAAGCTCAACCAACAAGGTCCACCAACGTCGTCGGCGTTGAGTGTACGACAACATGCTCTCTGTAGGCTGTCTCGACAGTGGTCCTCCATGCTTCTGTCCTGCGCGAAAAAGCTCCTTACTCTCCTCCAAGGCTCGAGGAAACACATGGTTACGTATCACCTCGATGAGACGCTCCAGTCCCCCTGGACGTGCAAGTGTCTCTAGACCTAAGTCTCTGGCAAGCAAAAAAGCATCACCTCTCAAACCTTCTACGATCTTGTTCACTAGGACACTGCGATCGATGATACTCGACTTGTCTGACTTAACGGACGAAGCCTTCGGTGATGTTGCATCAACCTTCGACTTGGGAGTACCGGCAGTCTCACGCGGCTCGGGCTCAAACTCCTCGGGATAGTGTCCAGGCGAAGGGAATGCGAATCCTTCGTCTGACTCTGGTGGCCAAGGCTCCCCTTCGTCGGCAGGTCCAGTCACGGGATCCTGCTTCTTTGCTGGTTGCGTTTGGGCTTGGTCGTACAGCTTGATGCGGAGTTCGGTTCGAAATTTCCAGTCATGAAATGATGCAGGATCTCCCCAATAGATGTAAGACCCACTCTTGGTTTCCAGGGGGTTGCCTATTCTATCACCAGTGCTACCCGAATGGAACTTGAGTCCAGCAATGGACATGTTCGACGATTCCGACGGAGATTGCTCGGGCGAGCAATCTATTCCGGGCTCTGTCCCCAACGGGATCAGAGGAGGCAAGCGAAAGCACGCAAGGAATGCAAGCTCAGGCTTGATGTTCTACGATTCCAATGACCTGGATCAGTACGTGCCGGAGTCAGGCCGTCACCTGCTCCGCTACCAATGTCGGTAGCAACCGGAATCGTACTGTCCACACGCTCTTTTCACTGCGAAAGCGAGCACGGTATAGCTCAAGGGCCCTAGGAGCCAAACGGCGGCAGACACAACATAGTGTGACAACCTGGCTCAACAGAATGAGATCCTACCTCAAATTCACAAAAGTAAAGAAGTAAAAATTGCCCAACAAACAGGACGAAACCACATCCAGGGGCTGGAGATGCCTCCATTGCCCCCAATGGATATTACAACAGACCATAGTTCTCAAATGACTGGTACATGAAGAGCGGGATGCTGGTGTCCTCACATTGGTGACCGGGACCTCACCCTCCGGGCGACCTGTCACACAGAAAGCGACCAGGCGATCATCAAAAGAAGCCACGGCCACCGATGTGACCTCAGTGGGAGACCGTCATTCCACTGAGTCAGAAACCATGGGATTGGGATTGATGGCTCTAGCTACTCTATATAGTTGACAAAACCCACCAACTTGGAAGCAGCCTGCCAAGGTAGAAATCCCAAGAATTCGATCCACCGAAGAAGAAATCCATAGAAATCCCCTAACCATACCCATTTGGCCTACAACTACCAAGCGAAGGTTCTGGACACGAAAGTTCTCCAGCAGACTGGCACGAGGGTGTGGGGTGACACGAGCGCAACAAGAAGCAGAGCTGGAGGGCTGGAGGGAGTGGGAGCACTGGCGGAGACCTGTATCTATGCCAACAAAAGCAAGCGCCGGCGGGAACGGCGTGACCGCAGCCACCCGCTGCATGGGGAACCTGCACTGAACCCGGCACCATGTTGGCAAGGAAACAACAGAGTTCTTTCTTTCTTTCTTCCTTTCTTTCTACGCACAATTCGCGCACAGTGTTAGTCGACTCAGTGCCTAGCATGCGTCTTCATGGAAGCCCGGTCAGCTCTGCAAGAAAAATGGGAACACATAGAAAGGTGCAAAAAAGGATAAATTGTACTTGTAGGTACCCTTGGGGCTGAAAGAGTTTGACTGCTCTGGGCGGCCTGGGCTCTCTGACCAGTGCTCCAGCACACTGAAGGAGTAAATGCTCAACCTGCGGCACGTTTGATCCGGTCAGTTGTTTCACTGAGTTGCGATGTGAAATTCTACCCGAGTGGCTCAACAGGGAAACTCCAGGACGTCCGGCTTCATACTGTTGATCCATGTTAATCCAGTTTCATTACAGCAAAAGTGCGGCGGTGGCTCAAAGTGCTCTGCCCTTGGGAGTAACCTCGATGGAGTACCAAATTAAATAGAGTCACTAGATGCTCCAAGTAACCTGCAAAGTTTGCCTGGTAAAAAGATTTTACATGACCTCTGCCTAAGTAGAGAGGAGAGGGAAAAGCTGGTGCGGGGACAAAAGTGAAAACGACCAAGGCCTTCAAGTGCAATATCTAGACAAAAAAGAACATAAAGAAAAGGGTTCTAGAAGTTCTAGACAGTTTCGAGAACATGTTCAGATCGCGAATGATACTCTACGTTCGCTCCTCGCCATGTACATTCTGGCTCTGGGATCTACTTTTCATCCTGCGAGTTCAGCCTGGCCTTGGGCGAAGATTTACATTCGTCCAACTAAAAGGGTCTCCTAAAAGTGCTTCAAATTCGCTATCTACTGTATATCTATATAATGCTTTCGGATGCTTTCGGACGTTGGGAATCAACCAGAACCTCGACTGGGAAGGGTTCCACTTCCCGGCCTCGCCCAGCTCAATCCGCTGCCCACGAACCTTCACCTGGAAGATCGCCCCGGTGTTCATCTACTCCAGCTATCCAATGTGGAAAGGAACACTTGACCTGGTGTTCCACTGGGTCCCCCAAATGTTCAAACACATCAACCACGAGAAATTCATTGAAATTCCATAAAACAGCGCAAGGAGTATGCCTCTTTCAAAGGACCCCGACTCGTGTCAAATGCCTGACCAGTCTATGCTGCAGCTGAACCATCATGGAGATCCCCAATGTGTTCAGCTGAAAAAAAGTTCTGAGAGCTTCCACAGGGACCTCACCTGGTGATCCTTCCGACCGAGAAGCTGCATCTCAGCCTTGCTCTTGACACGAGTCCTCAGTGGAAAAAGAGTGAAAGGTGACAAGTGTTCATGATGACAGCACTACATGACATCTGTAAACAGCTTTCCTCAACATGCTCACTCTGCTTCCATCCACCTGCGTAATTCAAGGCCCCGCGTCTTCGTGTCCCAGGCTACTCCACCAGTTGTTATGCTGAGAGCCCCAACACTCGAGCAAGATCGCCACCTTGTATCCAACTTGGCATGATGAGAGATCTGATCCAACAACCGAAGGATGACTTTGAAACAGGATGCGGCTGAGAAGCCATGCTTAGCATGGCCCTTCAAGTGTTTCTTAGTCTTGTTCGGACTCCTGGTTAGCTGGCCGTTTGTGCTCTCCGTGGCTGAGGTACATTGAGGTACCAGTACCATGGCACAAAACAGCACTTGTCTGTGGTTGTCAACACTTCTTGGATCTCGCCTGGTCAACTGACTACTGGGCAAGCATATTCGGACAAAAGAGTCATGAATTATGTCGTTTCAGAAAAGAATTGGTTTGGCCTGGCACACGGGGCTTGATCATGGTGACTTTCAGCACGTCCTAGCATCGACCTGACCCAGTCGCGAACTGTTTCTTCAGACGTTAAGCTTGGTCCTGGTGGGCACACTTTGTATGCATTCAGCACAACCAGCACCGTAGTGTCGTCCACATTGGAACGAATATCCTGTCCTTGCTTGTGGCATCTGCCTTCGCTGATTGGCTCTGATATACACTTTCCTACACTTTCCACAATTGCTGGAGAAAAATGACTGTTAAGGTCGACCAAAGTCTGGAGTCTTGAACTAAACGTGAAGCTGGAGACAGAGTCAGAATCATAAGGGACCACGAAATGCAGGCCTCACAATTCTAGGCCAAATCAATTGAAGAGAAAGCTTTTGAAGGAATCGTCACAACCAAGGAATCTACGTCAATGGAGGATCTTTTCGCTGAGTTTGGCATTGATGGTTGGCTGAAGTCGCAGGCACTCAAAGTTTGCATCTTGGGTCTTGATCTGAGCATGAGTCGATCATCATGAAATGAACATTGCGCTAGCAATGAGTTGTCACAAACATGATCACATCATGTTCTCTGCAGATATACTTTAATTGACTATGAGATTTTTAGCGATCCTAATTTAACATTGACCCAAATTATGTCGTGCAGTTCACTGGTGCAGAAGTTCTGAATGCAGCGTCCAAAAAGAGGATCACGACTCTGCAAATTCAGTAGCGCTAAATCGTTCATTGGTGTCTCGACAATCTCAGCTACAAGAGTCTGAGGTAGCCTTTGCCTCAAAGCTCGTCTGAATCCAGGCAAGCTAAACAACTTATCAAGTGATCCGGAGAAGGCACTCTTCTTTGTATGCAATCTCCGCTCATTAATGAGCTGTCATGCACATATGCCTTATAATTAGTACCTCTGTCAGCGCCTTAGGCCAACCCTGTCAAAAACTTAACCAACAAGGAAGCAAAAACACAATGACATGCAATGACATATTCTTCCGGTTCTTGATCAAAAACCATCCAGGCCCAGGCCCAAGGCATGTACCGTACCCGGCCACAGATCCGTTTCGACTGGCACCGGCCCGGGGGGACCAACCTACGCTGGTCCGGCGATCGGGGCACCCACCACGACGGGTGCTACAGGAGCTGAGACTTGAATGACTTGACCCGGCAAGGCACCTGGTGGTACCTGGCAGTGGTCTGCATCAAAAGGCACTAGTGACTTTAAGTGGCGAAGAATATGTGATACGAGTACCTATTGAGGTGCTCAATGTCCACCTGTGACCCCTCGCTTTTCCGAGGGGGGGGCTGGGCGTGCTATTTCAGGGGCTGAGATCAAAAACGTTCCCCGTTCCAGTGTAAACAAACCAGCTCCACTCTCAATAATGCACCGCGAACGCCCAATCGGATCCAAAACACGCCCATTTATGTGAAGCTCATGCAACACGTTGTCTCTGCAGGTGATTCCCTTTGGTCCACCAGGGTTCCTTCTAGGCTATTCTTCGAAGCAACGAATCTCTTTTGGATTCCTTTGGTAAATGTTCTATTGTTCTAGTGCACAAAATGACCTTGGTTAAGTAATGCAAACCACAATTTGCCTTGCATATTTTGCATCACCATCACACCAAAAGTCGTCCGCGCCAAAAAATAGAAACACCAACAAGCTGGTGTGTATTTACCATACGGACACTTCGCTTGCAGAAACTAAACTCAGCCTAGCCTATCAGGCCTATCAGCTGGCGTTCGTAATTATTGCACAAAATAAAACGTTCAAGATCGGTCCCGCCTGAAGCTGAACAATCCCGCCCCCAGGGCCTGGCAATGCGACAACCTGATTTTTGGAACGGCCTGCTTTTCTGCGCAAGGCTAAATAGGCTCGCCAGTTGTGGTATGGAAAGGTGCCTGGAAGTGCTTTGAACTGTGAAGTTGCGTCAATGAAACAGTCCTCTGAAAGGAATGGCTGGTGGTACTCGTGCTGGCCTTGCACTTGGAGCATCTGTCCTGGTTGAACTCCTTGGGGCAAAGTCCTCAGATGTCTCGAAATCACGCCGATTTCTTCATAACATCTTGGCATCAACTAAGACCAACACCCCTTGAATCAACATGGATCAACTTCTCGCAAGAACCTTTTGGGCCCCATGTTGATCTCCCCACAAGCGGAGTGAAGAGAAAACTGGCTCACATGATGAAGGTGTCGGCTTGTAGAGAGTACGAAAGGGTCGAAGTCTCTTCCACCCAGGTACAACTTGATGTCACTCAGTCTGAGATAAGTCTGACCATTCCAAAAGCAGTCCTGAAATGTGGCCCAGCAGTGCATACAACTACAACACAGGATATACTCTGAGGCGGATAAAACATCTTGAAACAAGTTCGTCCAACAACATAATTACCAGCCCTACAGCTTTGAGCTATTGCCCAAATATTGTCAGGAGGACAAGTGGGGCTTGCTGGCCTAATCCTGAGATCATCTATATAAATCTGGCCAAAGGATCTGGCAACATGTGTGGCTCAAAAATGTGGGATGCCAAAATATCGGCACATCAATCAAAGGATCAGTCAACACACTCGAATCCCTGATAGATGCTGTTCTTACCGATGACAAGGACTTTGTTCCGAGCAGAACCATACAATAGTCAATAGTCTTCCTGCAGTTGACAAACGAAGTGAGCATGTTGTCTGCACGATCTGTGGCCCTTGACAAAGGGATTGTCGCTTTTGGCTTGCAGGAGTTTGTGAAGTCGCAACTGTTCTGGTTCCGACAAATTCCGCACGCAGCTGATTTGACCCAAGCTTCACTTGCATGATTGTCGGATCGCCACCTACAATGTGGCCAGAGTGTCTTGAGACACGGCTATGCCGGCCCCTCTGACTGAATCTGTGTTGGGGAACTAGCATCAGTGAATCAAACAAGCCGTTGAGACAATTACTTGTATGATTTTGCAAGATCGCCACAAATTGGCGATCTACAATTACAACAGTTATCCATGTGGTAGCGACCACCAAATAAACACAAATAAACTTTGCAATTCGCAGTTTCGCCGTGTAAATGCTTGTACTGGGTGCTATTCGACCAAAGACCACCAGGAGTGAGAACCATTGGCTGGTCGGCGTGCGTAGGAGTGGTCTGCTGCCCAAGTTCTATCTGGTCTGAATGCAGTTGTTTCTTCTTATGCACAGTATGTCAACATTCCCCCGGACTTTATCTACTGTACATCTCTCTGCCTGTCTGCTAGGGTGCCCAGCTAAAATATCCAGTACACGCACAGTATATATGCCAGTATATAATATATATATATATATTATAAATACATGTGCTCGCCCACCATTTGAGCAGATTTCAATTCACCGTAGGAATTTCTTAGGGAGCTAACTGCAAGCGATTCAATCGACCACGTCTTGCTTAACTTAATGAAAAATGATGTAACTTGCCAGTCAAAGGTTTGTGCTGAGAATGACATCCGGGTCAGCAATGTTCTTTGTCTCACGCAGTCTGTGCTGCGGAAGCTGGAGCTGGAGCAAAAAGCAATTTAGCTTCCAAGTAGCTTAGATATCCCTTCAGAAGAAGCAATTCCTCCCTCAAAAGAGCCTCATTCCATAGGCTGTCTTACAAGTGTGCATCTTCATAAACGTGTCCCCCTTTACAAAGGCGCTCACTTTACAAGGGCCGGTTCCTTCATCAAAATCTGTTAATCTAGGTTTTGATTATGCATAGCATCCATATCTGTATTTTCCCAAGCCGCCTTTATAGAAAAACAACCTCTATTCAGTATCTTTGCATCTGCAGTGATTGCAAGCCAAAAGTCTAGAATCACTGCACATGATCGAATCCCTCAGGTTTTGCCAAGTCCGTGGGTTTCAAGGATCTGATAAATCCGAGCATTTGCGGTGGTTTTGCACCCCATGCTTCCAATTACTGCATACTGTCACTTTCGGATTCCCAAATTTTTGAAGGCCTAGTGAAGCCCAATGACTTGATAAAATTGAACAAACACCTGAAGCATATCCAAACATTCTGTGCCTGTTTTTACTGAGTAAGCGTACGCTGTGATTGGACGCTTCTATAGGGTGCCAAAAATCTCTGCATATGCTCAAATTTCTCAAATAGTTCAGGCCCAAGTGAAGCCCCCAGCCTTGGACATAAATGAGGATATATGATTCTTCACTTTTGCTTTTGCTCAGATGTCTTGGCACTTTAAGGGAGTTGTTGAATTGGTTGCCTGTGTTCTCCTTTTGTTGAGCTTTTGACATTGCGTGCATGTGTATTGCAATGTCAGCCCTTCCGTTGCAAAATGCTTGAAACACTCTGTAAATACCATAATCTAAAAAACGGGTAGCTATATGGAAGAGTTACCACATATCATATATTTTACTATTTTTATACAAAGGCCATGGGTTATTAGAATAGTCAGAGCCCCCAAAACCCCTGGTAGAGAAAACAGAAACATCTCACCCATGTCTGTGTTTCTCCCGCGGCTCGCGCTCTTTATCCGCACCTCCAATGGCCATGATTGGAGCGGACCATTTCCCGGGCACTTGTGCGCCAGGACCGAAGACCTCGTGACGCGAAGTGACGAACATGTCGCGGGAGCGACGCCGTATGGATGGTTCTGACAAATGTGCCGCGGTTGTTGTGCTCCTTACAAAGAATCGCATGTCTAACAGTCAACTCATGGCTTGATGACCTGCTACACAAACAACTCCTTTCAATCTAGACGATCACTCTGTTTCAAAATGTTTGAAAGGATGGTGCAAAATCCTTGAGGGGAAAAATCTGAACATTAGTTAGGTCATGGTTCAAGGGTTTTACAATCATATGTTATTTTATATATGCAGTTCATATTTGTATATATATATATGTTGTTGGGGTTTGCGGATGTTCGGCCTGAGCGACCTGACGCGCATTGTCACGGTGGCACGACCTTCAACCGCATGGCTCTTGCTTCGACGTGTGGACCACTCCCCATGAACCTTCTAAGACCACAAAGGCAGCAAACTTGGTGCCTTCTCCATGGTTGCCTGGTCTGGTGGATAGGCGACGTTCTCCTTCTTGGCCAGCTGATCAAGTTGAACATTCATCCTCAGCCAAAAGAAAGCATACCACGATCGAGAGTGTCTTCTCTGGGTCTCTGCTTCCCAAAGTCATGAAATGAAGCCACACCTTAAACATATCAGCCGTTGACATGAACAACGCTATCTATCCAATGCTCTATAGATTATGATTACATGTCCGTCAGTCTCAAAAACACCTTGGCTGCCTTGGCTCAAGCAATGGATTTGAACCAACGTGCTAAGCCTGTGTTCGGTAAGCCTGTGTTCGAACACGAGGCACAATCTTCCGTGTTCAGCAAAAGAACCCATCAGAAAAGGAATTTACCCAGCTACAATATAGATATGTACATACAGTACGTGCTCTCTTATTGCAGGCTCTGGTTTTGAAAACAAAGTTGCTTGATGACCTCGATCATCAGATTCTCCTGGTGACCAACTGAGGGATATCAAACACTTCTGGGTTGCGACTGAGCATCACCAAGGTCTGAGGGGTTGCAACTATATTAAAATAATGCCTGCTTGGCAATGCAACACACTGATTCCTGAACTCAGTGAAGATGGTGACCCCCAGAAAACCTCAACAAATTGAAAAATAGATGAAGATCAACCCGTTATGATCGCCTGCATTTGCACCTGGGCGATGTTGCCGCGCGTGACCTGCGGGGATCTCTGGAGCGGAGAGCTGATTGGAACGACCAAGACTGATCAAATAGACTCAGACTGAAGAAGAGCTACTCCAAGAGGGTGCAAACATGTGAAACTTCATCCAGGGCAGTTGATAAGAGCTATATAGCTCTGGTGGATCATTCCCACCAACTTCTCAACTCCCTCACCTACGGCAACTCGCAACTCGCAACTGCCTGCCTTGCGCTTCTGCAACTCATCTGAAATAGCTTCCGTGATCTGAATGGAGCGACATGGACAGTCACGGTGCCGATTGAGGGCTGCTCAATATTCAGCTTCGATCCGAGGCTTTCCACAAACTGCAAACAAAATCAGGTGTCTGAACTTCAACATGTCGCAAAGAGCATTAGCCACACGTCCCAACGTGTGCACCTGACCTGTCTGGGACAGCCCTTCAGCAAAGATAGAAAGGACGCATCTATTCTCGATTCACTAGTGCACCTCCTTGTCGCAACCACATGCTGGCGCGATTGCACCCCCATCCTTGGGAGATTCGCGAAAGCAAAGGTCCAAAGGGCAACATTTCTGCGTGAAAACGTGTCTACGCACAGTCTCAGTCGGCATTGGGCCCTTGAACAACAGCATCTGCCGTTGGCTCAGTCTCAGTTGATCAACAATGCATGCTGCCTGCTGCTTGCTGCCTGCCCTTCAATTCAACTCACGTCAGGCTGCATATGGTATTGACAGCTCGAAGTTTCATCAATGGGTTCGTGACACTATCATGAATATATTTGATGTAATTAACAAGTAGTCACGCTCACAATCAAGCCAGAGGGCTGTCTCCACATTGTAGCACTTTCCACAGCAGCAGGTCTCCATATCCACCTGCAGCAAGTGCAAAGCTTGAATCAAAACCATTGTGCACAATCAACCAAAAAGGATCTGCAGGCATGACCGTGACCTACGGACAGATCACTCGCAAAGAGCTCATAAGGCGTCAAAGCCGCTCGACCTGCACTTCATCCTAGAAATCTTAGGACGCTCAAGTGAATTGGCTGCACCCCAGCTTGGTTGGCAAACGTGTGTCTCTGTTCTTGTTGTTCTTCCCGCAGAGTCATTTTCTGACAACATATAGTCTATATAGATATAGTGATGTCAGTGATGTCTGTGCTTTGGGGCGATTCATTTGTCTTCATCGTCTTGCGGGGGAAGCCGGCAATCCACTCCATGTGGATTCCACCATCTGGAAACACTGCTCTTCGACGTCTCTGATTTGCTGCCTTTCATGGTTGTTTGCGTGAAATTGATGTATATGTGTGAGATTTCTGCCGGTAAAGTTGGTAGTGGTGTTATCTTGTTTGAATTCCCACTTGAGTTTTAAGTCCTGAAGTGTGCTGTAGGAAGACATCGTTTCAGAGACAAAGAGGCAAACAACAATGAAAGTCCACAAGAATCTCCAGATGCGAAGCATTACATGGACAGCTGACGAAGCATGTGAAAACTGCAGTCCCCCCCACATGCTACAAATGGTCTTGGAATTACAGTACTGAGCAAGCAGAAGTTTCAAGATTTAGTTGCTAGGTGGTTTGAATTCGCCACTCACGGCTTTGGCATAAGGAAACTTCTGAATCTCAAGCTCCAATGCCCAGCTTGTATGAAGCAATCTATCCGCCAGCAACCTAAAAAGAAGTCCCAGGAGTCAGCCAGGCAAAGGGAAACAACCATGTTGCCAAAAACTCGCGTGGTCGTCTTCCTCTCGAGAAATCCACCCCTCAGTCTCGGACGGAGCCCAGCTGCGCGTAGGGCATCCGCATGGTGTGGGTTCCGCAGCAGTTCTTCTTCGTCATCGTCACCTCTTCTTCACCTGTCGACTGGGATCATCAGGATTAGCGTCGTGTGCGACCCCCAGGAACGACTGAAAGATGAACAACTCAATTTGTTTGTTTTCTAGACCGCGTGAGGACGAAGACGCATGGCTTTACAACCTCATCTTGAGCCCAGAGTTCTTTCCTTGTCAGCACCATCCAGCACCTCGCATCCAGCACCTAGCTGGACTGGACGTTTCCTCACGAAAATGAGACAGGCAATGAATGGTCTGCATGGATCTGTGTACAGTGTACTGAAGAGAACCCCAGATGTTAGTGCAACCGTTCACGGACCGGTTCCGCTCCGAGTCCGAGTCCAAGTCTTCTCCGACCGCTCGAAGGCCTAGGTGGAGCTTCACCGACTGCCAGCCAGCTAGGCCCAAGGAGCAGACACAGATGCAGCAGGATTCGCAGTAGTTGGTCACATCTGAGCAAGACCAGGCCAAGTGAATTGGACACCGCTGCACTTCCATGGTCAAGGTCAGTAATTCAGGAAGTAATAGGATGTACTATGAGATACTATATTGTAGTCTACCAACCTGAAATCAGGAAATTCCAACACTGAAAAGACAATCAGTGCCTGCATATACATTCCCCCTCGAGAAAAAGAACAACGCTGCCGCCGGGCAAATCCGCTTCTCAAACAGTAGAATTCGGTGATTTTCCGCCTGGTGGTAGTCAAACTGCAAGCCAGTAGGCAGGCAGCGGCGACACATTAGCAGTTTATTGGAGGTTTGAGGTTTCACAAACCAAACACAAAAAACTATGCTTATGGAAACGAACCTGACTTTGCTAAAAAGTTGTTTAGGACATTTAGGAACGTGGGGTAGCTTCATTTCACAGAGGTGACTTTCTCAAAAAGCACAGAACAAGTTGGCCACCAAAGGATTCTTGCAAGTTCTGCAAAAGCAAGTTCAGGAAATGAGTCTACTGCAAGCTTCTCTAATTGGGTATGTATACGGACCAATTAGAGAAAATCCGAAAACAGAAACTATGGACCCCCAAGTGCCGAAGTTGTTCTGAAAGACGAACCTCGCTTCGACGAATTCGACCAATTCTCGCTTCTGGGCGCCGAAGCCCCCGATGTCAGGATTTCCCCCCAAGCGGGTCTGAACGTCTGACCGCGAGAATGCTTCTGAACCAGAAAGACAAAAGAGATGAAACAGGATGCTAATGCCTTGTTCATCTCTTTTTGAATCTGCTTTCAAAAAAGAATCCCCCCCCCCACACACAACTTGCGCTCCAGTCTGAACGCACCTCCACGTCCTTCCCCATAGAGGGTACGGGAGGAGAATCTACACAGAAGACCGTAACATAACATGCATGAAAAACCGCAAGTCCGACCGGCCTATGTCCAGGGTCACAACCAAGCGAATTATCAACGAAATACCATGGATTGCAGCTAAATTATGAATTCACGAACCAAGCTCAATGGAATGGAATCCAAGCTTTTGTTTGTACGGAGACATTTCTTAACTTTTTGGTATAGGTTTTGCCTTTTCAGAAATGGGATATCATCCGGAAGAGGTGTCACCAGGATCGGTTCAGACAGATTTGGCACGAAGGGGAGTCGAACATTAAGTGGATATGGTTGTTCAGGAATGGTGGCATACGTACGCAGCAGTTGCATGGCAGCTACACGCTGAGGCAAGGTAGGACGCGAGGCAATACCACCAACAAGGCTACGATGAAACCCCAGGCGGACTAGGGTGGAAGCTCCCGTCTTTTTGTACCGGGGGTATAACTGAACCTTAGCTGTATGTTCCAAGTACTGAACCACATGGCGAAAATTTGTGGCCTGATGCCACAGGCTTCGAACCTCTGGTTTCTGCAATTTCACCTCATCAGAGAAAAAGGCAAAGGGATGCGCAGGTTGATGATCAGCGACTTTAATCCAGATCGGCAAACACCGACCAGCGAACAATGTAAAGTGTAGCACAAGCTCATACCAAGTAATACCGTAGTCATACTTATCCAGAGATTGGTCCGGGTGGCGCCAGATAAGTGTTTGGAAAAATTTCCATACACATGTTGCTAGTTGTGCGCCCACAGGACAGGCATGTGCCACAATATCTGGTAAAGGGCCTTCGAAAACCCACTGTGGACCTTGGACCTCCCATTCTGTAAGTGTCTTTCGCAACAAGGAGATCTCATCCAGGCCCTGTTCATGCAAAGCTGCGTTTTCAGCTGACTCTTTTTCAATTCGAAGGCTTGACTGGAGACTATTCAAGGTACACAAGTACTTATAAACACAAAGTAAGGCTTCCATTTGTTTCTGACTATGGATGCGAATGTTCTCTGCTGCTTGACGAAAGGCTTCAATGTCCTGACGATTGATGAGTTTTGCTGTCTCATCAGCGACTGTATTACCTAGAATCGTATACAGATCTGGCAAATTACTTGCATCCGCGTAATCGCGATGAGATTTAACCTTATGGAGTTGGAAGAGGCAAGGATCCCAGGACATCTGCAAACGTCGAATTAGGTCATAATGGGCAAGACGATACGTGCGAGGGTCCAGCAGACAAGTGCTGAGGGAGTGAACGATCTTCTGGACGAAACTAGAATCTGTATAGAGATCTATCAGTGGCCGAGGGACCTGTGCTGCATAAAATTCAGCCACCCAAACGACCGCTTCAAGCTCACCCCTATTGATCGTTTGAGAGCCCTTAACATGCGACACTTGTAGAATATCAAAGTCATTGAGCGACGGATCGGATGGGGAGACCCGGACTTGACGGATAGCTGCCCACGCAGCCTTACAGCACTTTTGCAGTTTCGGCGTATCACAGGTACCATCTGTGAAAACTTGGATTGCTTTATCGGGATGTTGGGTGGTCAATGGCAGCCATGCCAAATGGGGGTGCGCAGCAATAATCTGCACTGCCTCTGGATGCTGATCACGCACGTGCTGAAACGGGGGACAATCTAATAGACGATGCAAACGCGTATCAGGTTGCCCACAATGTTCACATGCACTTGACTGAGTACTATCCCAAATGACCTTAACTGCCGCTGTTTGATATCCACCCGTTATATTCAGGGCTACCAATTTCTGTTCACGAGTAGACAATTGCTTCATTATTTTAATTTGTGTATACACATCACCAGGCACCGGTGTAATCCCCTTGCGGTGGCGGACATTTGAATGCACATAGAAGGCCCAGGCCAACCTACATTGCATCCGAATCTCAGACGTGGATTGGGATTGAAGACACAGTTGATGTCCACTGGGAAGATCAATAAGTCCACCAGGGGATGGAATCCAACTAAGTTTAGACAAATATGCAGTCATGGTACTACATGGACCACGTGGGGGTTTTGCCAACAGAACTTCATCCCACAATTGATGTGCCAAGGGGGAGTGGGTGTGGAACAAACGGCGGATGGCACATAGCCCAGTAACAATAACATAGAGGAGTGGGTCCATAATTCGATCCGTCAAGAACAGCATGGCAAGGTACGACGATGCATATTTGTGTTTTCCTACAAGGGTGTCTGTGGCCAGTCGTCTTAATTGAACAAAATGCGAGTCACCCACAATCTGGCTCTCCGCTCCATAAAAAGCGAGGGGCCATAAACGTCGCCTTATCTGGGATAGACAAATCCATTCCCCCCCCCCCCCCGAAGTGCCCCTACAAAAGGCCCCCAAAAACCTGCCGAGAGGCCCCAATCCTTCTCTCCGTGCCTGCGGTGCACTGCGGTGCCAGGTATATGGTACACTCCAAATGATCCACCCCCCTCTCATGTTGTACAACTGTTGCCTGGGCCCAGATGAGGTTAGTATAGGATTTCCACCCCTACCGATCCCGTTCCCCCATTGGTTTTTATGTTATATCGACTTTGACATCAAAAGAACATCGCTTGTTTGTCGTTTAAAATCTGGGAAGCTCGAAGGCCAAATCATTTGCACCCAATTCTGCTTTGCTGGCCCTGAGGAAACAAACAAAAAGGATGTTCTAAGCCGCGGGCCAGCCGTGGGCCATAGAAAAAAGCCTGGCCCTTATGGTCTGTCTAGCATTTGGATCTTACTATACGCAACACTGCATGCACAGAATTTGTGGAAGTTCAACAACATGCTGTTATGATCCGCTCTGGCATTCCTGGCTTTGCAGGTAGAGCCCTGAGCATGGCTACGGTGGCGAAGTTTGATAAGGGGGCCTGGACCTGAAGTTGCCCAAGATATTTATATATGTGTATACATATATATATGTATATATGTATATATATGACCCATGAGTTCGAGGGCTTGCAGTGGGGAAACACACGTCATCTATGGGATGATAGACAGAATCTGTGTCAAAATACTGAATACATTGAATACAGTACAAACAGTACATCTCTTGAACAAGGAATGGACATCTAATCTCTCGATAATCTCTCCCTCTTCATCCTCTTCCACCCACTCGTTCAGCAGGTTCCCAAGCAAATGCCGTGTGAGATGCTGTCGCGAGGGCCCAACATGCTTGTCCTCACCCAGATATCCATCATTGTTCGACCTTAGTGAGACGCTCATGATCTTACAGTACAATCAAATCAACTGTCTCACCTGTCAAATGAAGAAGAACACAATCTCAACATGATTTCTTGTTTCTCTTGCTGCCCTGTTGAATGACAAATCTAGTCATCAAATGCCACACCCTGCTGCAAGAAAACAAGATGTGGTGGAAAACGATTTGAATCACCATGAACTCTCGTAAGAACTCGCTTGCCTCTGAGCAGGGGTCGCTGCTACATTTTAAAAAAGCAACTTGAACAAACAAAAACGAATGAAAGCACGTGAAAAACACTCCGGGAGAGTCCAGTGAGTCTCAGCAAGCAATCATACGGCTCCGCATGAATTTACAGCAGCAGGACATGTTTGTGCCAGAGGCAAGCACCAATGTCACGAGTTCTGCGTGCGGAGCCAATGTCACATATTCAGCTCCAAATCGGTTTGGCCCGTCCCAAGTTCCGCTGATCCGGCTGATCGTAAGAACGCCGCAGACACAGCACGGGTTGCGGACATGGCACGGGAGCTTGAAGGCCGGTCCATAGTCTTCAGACATCGTTGCTTGAGTCGGAGGGTATTGGACACCAACCTTCTTCCTCAGGCGAAACAGGGCGAAGGACTCTTCAGAATTCAAACTCTGCAAACTCAGCATCTCATTGGTCTACAGGAAATGTTTTTTGTTTTTACTGTTAGTTGTGACTGTCGAGTCTACATCTGATTGCAAATTTGGCGTCCAAAGTTTGGCTTGAAGGGAATCAGTTTGGAATCAAAAGCGGAGGCTGTTCTGAAGGCAACCAGGGTTTGGGCATTATCCATTTTTTATCAACGCAACCCGAAAGCTTCGATACGGCAAAAAGCCAATTGCTAGTAATCCAGGGTTTCAACCATAGCAGACTGCAGGGCTTCAACCATAGGAGACTGCAGGACGTTGGGAAGCATCCTCAACATCTTCCCTTTGTTGGAATGACATCAGTGTCAACCTAATCCATGCTAAATCCCATTACTCACTATGCAAAAAACATCCAAAAACTAAGGGCTTCAAATTGCTCACAAATTAAGGATTGGCAAAAGTCGCTGCAATGCATGAAAGCACGTGGTGCAAACTATCTGAAGGAGAAACACAGGAAGGTGTTGGCATGGTCAATAAATCAAACCATTTCGAGCATCAATACGGTCCCCGTGCGCACCGAGAGTTCCAGGGCATTGAGCATGGTGTTCTCCTGGTTCTTCAGTTGCGCAATGTCACCACGTCCAACCTTTCCTGTGGCAGACTTTGCAGATTCGTTCGGGCTGACCTTCAGGTTTCATGGCAAACAACGAAGCAAAACACACGCCCCTGAGTCTCAAACGCCCACTTGAAGCCACTCATGATGAAAAAACACACAAACAATCAGATTAACCATGAACCACTCAACGGCAACACGACCTATACTCATGAGAGCAACGACGTGTGAATGTCTTCACCCTTTCAGCTTCTCTGCAGATCTGCCATCACTCATGTTTTCGCTCTGGGCGTGGGGTTGAGCGAAAGAAGATTTCCTTTCAGGAAAAACCAATGAGCATCAGGCCTCACGCATCCCTGATCATTATCTGTATCTCTTGGTCACAAAGTTGATGAAACACAAATGGAATGTAAGACGTAACCAGAGCACAGAAACAAAAGACTGGTTATCACAATCTGCAGGGAGAGCTATCATAAGGCTAGAGCTCAGTTCTATAGCTCCCCAGGCCCTGAACGCTTAGAAAGGAAACACTCAGGCCAGTGTGGATCCACAGTTGCCCAACCAGCTAACCGACCTCTCTGCAGATCATTTCTGGACGGCCAGTCAGCCGGGTTCGCGTCCGTAGACACTCGATCGATGAACGCTCGGCACCTTAATTTGAGCGCCAAGTTCCAAAACACCGAAATGATCGAGCACACATCTTCACGGCTAGAGTATCCCTTCACCAAAGCTGCTTCCACAGCTTCGGAATCGATCAGCAAGATCAGATCAGCCCCTTCTAGACGATCGCTAAAAGTAGACAAAGCTAGGACGGGATCGAGCCATCATTTCGATCGGAATGATCTGCGTCGTTCTAGGGATCCATTCACGGCTCACCCCTGTTGGGATCAACGCTGTAAACTGGCGTGGTTGTGCCAGGCGTCGATCGAACATCACAGCACCAACCCGATCGGGCAACCTATCCGAGCTAGGAGACCTAGGGTCAGCAGTGAACCCGTCGGTAAAAATCACGACGTCCGCTTTCTTCCTAGAGAGACGATCGATAGTTCTAGGGGGACCATGATCAACGAGACCTATCCACTGCATGTTGCAGAGCCGCACGGAGTGGGGGGTCGAGACCGAACTTGGGGCCTACCGGAAACCTCATGTACTGTCTCTCGGAGATCACCCTCAAATAAGCTCGACCGACCTTACCCCAAAGTTGCGAGGCCCCAAACATCAACTTACCCTTAAGTTTACCGGCCGTTCCTGGATCCAGAAGGCCAGACTCAAGGATAGAAGAGATCTCACTGATCAGGTCTGCTCTTCGATCTTCTTTGATTTCCAGCTGCATCTTGTCAAGGTTGTAGGTGACACCCAGGATCGTGGGTGAGTCCGACAGCTGGAGCTTTTTCTGATCAAACTTTGCGCCAAGCCACGTGTGAACACACTCAGCCGTCAGTTTGGCCGACACGATCGTTTCTGCCGGCTCGAAACCGTACTTATCGTCGTAGAAACTAAAGGCCACCAGCCCAAAAAGTTTGATCAAACATTCATTAATGGCTGCCGACCGCCGATTGTAATTGTAGACAGCCGAAACTAAGCCAAATGAGTGACCAATCATTACAAAGAAAGCCGGTCGATCTGCCTGCGGGTCTTTCAAACAAATAACCGAAAACTTTCTCTGATCAGGCCGCACGGCGATTTGACGATAGGCTTTCCTCTCATCGAGCACCCACCCTGCCAAGCGACCATGGGGCATCTTCGAGCGAAGCATTCTCAGAGCTGCCACGTTCGAGTCCGTTGACGGCAGTTGCAGCTTCTCGGAGATCTCCGCCACTTGGTTGATCATGTTGGTCGTCGCACTATCGCAGCCACGAACTTTGTTCTTTTGAACAACTTCAAACCTTTGAGTAGGGATCCAGTCCTCACAGCCCAACAGGTTCGAGATCTCCTCTTCTCTAAACCAAGGGCCAACACATGACCCCTCAGCACAGTCTTCCATGGTGGCTTCCCAGATCTTCTTCAAGTTCTCCGTCACAGCGACTGAAGTAACTCGCTGGACAATCTTTTTCCTCAGAGCCCAGGCCCGACAGAGTGCGTCTTCGACCGGAACGACCTTCTGAGGTTTGTCATAGTCCGGCCACCGACCTGAGCGAGGGATCACACCCACGATAGGGAAACCATGCAGCAGGTGGTGAGGAAGCTGTTCATCAACAGAATTGGCTGCTTGGAGCATTGCTTCATAGAGGGCCACATGGCAAACACCACCCAAACTGGAGCTGCAGAATCAGAGCCACCCAACAAAAGCGCCCGAAGATGGCGGTCAGGAAGGGCTCGGATCCGGGCAATGGACTCGGGCAGCAAGCGCAGGGCCTCACGTTCCCAGAAAGCGAGCGCTGTCACCCGAGCTAACAACACTTGAGCTGGTGCAGACATGACCGCCATAATGGCCGATTCCAGATCTTGATCCAGCGCGGCAGGCAGAGTGAAGGGATGATCAACCTGCAACGCCCATTGAATGGCCTGACCAGGCTCCAGCTCCACCTCCAACAACGGCTTCACGGCCCCTCTCTTGAGCTGGTAGCCGGAAGCCAATGCCTTCTGAGCAGTGGCAGCCTGGCGGTGGGTCTTCCAACGCGCTGGCGTGCCCAGGGCGCGCGCTTGCGATCGGCTGCCAAAGTGACCAGAGCATAGGACTCCACAAACTGCGGCAGCTCGCGCTGCCACGATTGATGGATGCCAATTGCCATCATGGCACACATCATGTGCCATGGGGGTACTCTTGAGCAAGCTTGGTACGGTATACGACTCTGTTGCGTCGAGCGTCCCAAATTTTGCCCCGGAGCTGCACATGGCCATGATCTCCATTGCACCGATGGCGAACGCCATGCAAGAGCTCGGACGAAACTCGCAACCGGGTCGGCTTCACCGAAGGGGCGCCGAACATACACTGATCGAAATCTAGGTCCAGTGTACGAGCAGTTCGAGCGAGCGCAATCATAGATGGCGTGCTCCACAGCAAACTCATCAGAGGGCTCTCGATCGAGAAATTGCCACCGACCTCAAACACTGCCAGCGCTACCTCCACGGAGCGGGCTACAAACAAGTTGCCCAGAGTGACCAAATCTTGGTTGGAAGGCGACAGATCCGGCACTCCAAGAGAACGTGCCATAGGTCCGCTTCCGGTCAGAGTTGAGCCGATAGACCTTCTTCCTGATCAATGAGTCTGCGGCCAACAACAGAGCCAGGCCCCTGTTCTCATGCCGCCATTCCTCTAGGTCAGAAAGGTACTGCAATGGTCCAGCTTTGTAGGAGAACTCACAAACGTTCAGATATTCCAGAGCTACAAAGAAGGCATGCAGTTTGTCCATGACTTGGGACTCAAACGCCGCCACATGGGGCTGGTCGAATCTGAACAACCTTGAGCAAGTCCTCTGCATTCCGACTGAGCCCGGACTTCTGAGCAATCTGTTCATTGCGGGTCCGCATCTCACCAACTTCATAGAAATTGACGGCCCCGTGAACAAGAAAGTCTCGCTGGAGCCGCTCAACGAATTTGCGATGAGGCTCTCATGTGATGTGGCAAGACCACGTCGGGGTGCCGAGCAATGAACTGCTGCCGGAACTCGGCATGATCTTCGCCCGGGATCTCTGGCACCTTTGCTGGATCCTCTTCCATTTTGGCACGCCGAGCAGCGAAGTGGTCCAATTGTTGAACACGTCTTCCACACGGCGGCCAAAGAGGCGAGCGCCAGTTCCTGAGCTGGTTCGTCAGGGCCGAATTTTGTCTGATCAGGAATCTTAGCCTTGAGAGTTGTCTTCACTGCTGCAATGGTGTCCCCGAGCATGGAGAAGGTTTCGACCGTCAGCAGATTTGCATCTGCGACTGTCTGGCAGAGCGCCTCAGGCAACCGCTGTCTCCCGAAGATTTGCCTGAGAGGCAAGTCAGGAGTGTGAGCGACATCCGTATAGGTGGTCCGATCGACCATGGCGGATCCTGAGAAGCGGGCGCTTGCACCGAAATAGAACGGCTCCGGATTCACACATGCCGACACTCGCAACTGAAAAATCCGAACGTGAATCAAGAACATCAAGCATGCAGACACAGCCAAGGCGACACGAGCGTGACGCGCAGAGCTTGCTTGCTGACTGAACCAACCCAAAAGCAGTGCAGGCACCTGGTTTATCTGCGAGCGCTCACGCTTTGGAAAAAGCCTCGGCGACCTCCGGACGTGCTCGGGCACAGCCTTTACAGAGCACTGAAACGTCAGGAAGGATCGCGCCGACTGAGCTGCATTCTGCAATCAAAAACTTATTGCAGGCGACTCGTTCATGGTCTCCTGGCTGAGAACAATGGTATCGGTAGTCGTAATACGACCCCGGAGCCGGGTTCTTGAGAAAGAATTCTGGCTGATCTGAACACAAAACCTCAGGGGTGTCCAAGAGCACTTCCTCCGACTCTTCAACAGGATGGGACTGATCTAACATGTCATGAACCAACTGTTGAACCATTTTTGCTGGGATCGACGACCGGTTTCTCGTGTACTACTTGAGCACCAAAGGACCAGGGTTCTTCCAATTGGCCTGCAAACCAATCTCTTCGGTCGAACGACCCGCATGCACTGCCGCATCGAGCATTGTCACTCGTGCCGAGTGTCCTGTGAGCGTATTGATCGTCACAGCAAAACGAACGAGTTCCTCTTTGGAGCCCTGCCCAAACTGCTTTAGAGCGTCACGCGCAATGACTTTGAGCCACTGCACTGATCTCGCATAGTCTGGGGGTCCCGGTCTGAACTCGGTGCGGCTGTTGAGGTCGCCAAAAATCCCGATCGGAATCCCCCCGGGTCAAAAGGTTCCAACCCTCAACGAGCCATTCCTGTCCAGAAAAACCTACCCGAGGAATAACGAACTTAGTCCCTCGGCGTTTGCGCTCCACTTTGGTTTGCCAAACAACCCCGAACAACCCTTCATCGAGCAAATGGAGGTCCCTTGGAGACACGTGAACACCATCATCAAACCTTAAGGAGGCAAACACCAAGCAGAGCCACCAAATAAACAGGCGAGCCGGATCGGGCGCATCTGAACAGACAAACAGTTCTAAGCACCTGATCACCTCCACCGGAATAGGAACGGTAACGGCCTCCCGCAAGGTGGTGGCCCTCTTCTGAACAATGTCCTTTTGGGGAGCTATCAGTTGTGGGTCATCCAAGTTAGGACAGTCGAACGCAAGTCTTGAAGTCACCCAACGAATCCACGAATGAAGTGACGGAACAACTGTGGGTCCACAATCCCGTCCATCTTTTTCGAAACTTTATCGAAACTTCAAAACTTTTTCGATCGAAACAGGAAAAACCGACATCGATTGCGACGCGGCCCAGAGCTCGAACCTATCCCAGGAGCCTATGATGTGGGCCCTCATGGTCCTGTGAGCTCCCGACGTCAGCACAAGATGCCTGAGCTTCGCCGTCTCTGCCGCTGTGAGCTCGTCATTCTCGTTGGTCTGAAAGAGCTTGGCATGCGGACCTGCTCGTCGACCGATCTCCTCGAGCGTGGCTGCCCACCGATGGCGTTCAGCTTGCTCATGATCAAGGAGCGGAGTCGACCCCGCCGCCAAGTCTGGATCCTGTTTTCTGCGTTTGGGATCCCGGACCGGTTTCTGAACCAAGGCACGGATGGCAGCCTGCTTCCTCAAGGAGGCTTCTTCCGAGAGAACTCTGTGAGCATGAGCATGTTCACAGAGCCCGAACCCCAATTGAAGGGATGTGGACTCAAAGAACATCTTCTCAACAGAAGCAGCCACCCCAAAACTGCTCCAACATGGAGGGTTCACTGAGCAGGGCATCCGCAACATCGGCTTCCATGGTTGAAGACCAGTCAGAAACTTTTTGAACAAACGCAGCACCTGTAGCGACCTCCATGGCCGTGATCAAGGCCAAGTTGGCCAATGGCGACCGCTTCAGGGCTTGTGCAAAACCATCTGAAAAGATTGGGAGAGCCAGGACTTTCAGAACCCATCTATCTGCGACCTGAGCCATTGCACTCCGGAACAGCTGAGGGCTCCGAAACTGTCGAACGCGAACTCTCTCTGAGTGTCCTGACCTCGAGCGTGCGCGGCCCGGCGTGTTGGTACAGCAGTTGAACAAGCACACATGAAAGCTCGAGCGAAAAGACACTACCAGTTCCTTACACCACATATATAAAAGTATTCCATGAGCCTGCGTCTTTATCATGACTCTCGCGCGAACACTCTTCAATGCAGTGTATTGAACAATTAATTGAACGAGCCTACATGATCCAAAATCATCAACACTTGTTTCTTTACATGTTTCTTTACATTGACTGATCAGGCCTTCAGAGTGAGGCTAGAGTGAACACTAAAACCGGCATCAAACTCGGTAAGAACCGGCTTATGTGAACACATCAGGCGCAACACTCCGAGGCCCCGAAACTGAAACTGCTGAGGTACTTGCCTGCAGCGACAGGCCGATGCGAGCGATCGTCTCATTAGGGGCCCTCACGTGCTTAGCGTGCGAACGTCAGCACAAGCACAGAAGACCCTACCAAAAACAGAGACTCACTCGCACCACAGAAGCAAAACATTTTTGAGCTTCTGCCTGTGTCTTGAACGTTTCAAAGTGAGCTTCCTCTCGAACAAGGATGCCGATTGAGCAGCCAGGCAAACACGGGATCGCCTCTGGCTGAAATTAATGAAACCATTCATGATCATACATCCACTGAGTTTCCCTCAATGGGCTGAGGTCCAAAAGAAGTTGGGACCCCTGGCACTGCGTCCTCCGGCGTGATGACAACCGATGATGGCCGATCGACACGCTGGGCACTCGCTGCAAACGAACCCATCACTTGACGAGCTTGTTGAACAAATGCCTGTGGCGCCACAGCCGCATCTGCCAGGTGTTCACCACGACGCTGCTCGAGCGAGCGCCTCTGCGCATAGACCACCTGCCCTGACTGAGCAGTCCCTGCAGCTAATGCTGGCTCCCCTGGAGCTGTCAACGACACTTCCGCTTGGGCAGTGTTCACGACCGAGGGCCCATAGCCACCACCAGAGCCAGCCAAGTCTCTGACCGCCTCCCACTTGGGCTGAGCAATGGCCACTGCAGGCGCCCCCATGGTGGGCGGCAGGATCATGGTTGCAGCCTCTGTGTCACGATCGTGGTACTGCAAGGCCAACGCCTCTTTTGGCACGATCTTCTTCTCCATCTTCAAGAGCGGGCCTTCGGACGTCAGATGGAGGTTGTCAGGATGGGATCCCACCTCGACTGCTCCAATGCGCGCACCACACTCATCGATCGATGAAGCCGTGACATCAGAGGTCGAGTGGGCATGGATGCCTGCCAGCTGGACCATCTGCATGGTCTGATCAGGCCCTTCCACTCGAGCGTAGTTCTCACGACACCATCGTGCATTTTTCACGAGCGTAGGACCTGACACCCGCGACACCACCATCCAAGATGCCGGCACGGCTGTAGTTGAGCAACCCGCGTCAAGGCGGTCTTGAGCCGAGCTAAACCTGAACTCCAAACGGTCTGCATCATGACCGAACGAGTCGCTCGATGACACTGCCGTGAGCCGGACCTCAAAGTGGCACAGCGGGAAATCCAGTGCCACAACTTGGCCACCCTCGCTGCATGCGTAGATCTGGCCACCAACCTCGAACGAGACCGCGCACACACGCCACCCCTGGAACACAGTGACGGTGCAGGAGGGTATGAACAACACCTCCTCCAACCCCATGACCAAAGCGTCATTCACGTAGTTCAATTGCACCGTAGCGTCTCTGTCCGAGCGGTACCCCCGAAGTTCAAGGTGCAAGAGCAAAGCACCTTCGACCTTCAACTTCACGTCGATCCATGTCGAGCTATCATCCCTCATGAGCGGCCATCTGAACAGTTAGAACGCATCATGGGACATGACATCTCCGTGAAGCTGTCCCAACGCCCACACGGGATGGATCCATAGCTGGTCATGGAGCCAACGATGATGAGCTTCTTGCCCTCGAGGGTCCTCATGTAGAAGAGCGACAGGTGGTACCCAGTCGAAGGGCTCCTGATCAACCTAGCATCAGACAGGATGTTGACACCAGCCTGTGCATTGATCAATATCTCATCGAGGAGCCAACCCTGGAACGGAGTCGACGACCAGCACTGATCTTTCACCTTCCCCTGATCCAACTTGCCTCAGGTAAGGGGGAAGCTTTGAGCCCAATGCATTGTGAACACCACCGAGCTGTCCAAACCGCAAAGCACGAGCACCTCGCCGAGCGGCCCTCTCTTGTTGCTTTCTCAGCTTGCGAGAACCCCACTGAGGATTGACTCCTGCCAAGAAGTTTTGAGCTGCCTGCATGGCCGGAGCCGCTGAAGAGGCAGTTCCTGAGCATGGCATGGGAGGTGGTGGAGGAGGAGCACGCTGAGGAGCTGCGCTCTGCTGCTCAGTTGAAGCTGGCTGATCAGCTGCTGGTGCTTCTTGTTCTGTAGAGCTGGAGCCAGGTACTGGAACTTTCTCGGTCTCTGCTTTGACCTTGTTGTCCAGATCGACTACACTCCGTCCTGGGAGCTCCAAATCACTTGGGGGGAGATCATCTTCTTCATAGCGGACCTGGTTCCACCCCCAACTGGAGCTACTCACATTGCTGACCGAGCCTTCTGGCCTCAGAGCTCTTGAGGCTGCCATAGCCTGTTGTCGAGCGAACGGATTCTGAGCCATGAGGACAGGAGTGAGTCTACCTGAAAGCTTGATCACCCAGGCCCTCAACACCTAGGGAAAAATATTGAGGCTCTGGTGATCACTCCAGCTCTTGCCAAAATGGCAGCGATATTCGATAGTGATCACAGACTCGATAAATAAAGAACGAAAAGCTGAACAGCTCCCTAGAGTACCACCTGTATCCCAAACCAACCTAACCGATGATACCGGCACCGAAAAGAAACACATGCAAATTGACCTGAATTTTATCAAACTCTACAGGATGATTCGTACGGGAGCTGCCACAAGCAAGAGTCCGTCCAGTGAATTTTGCCAAAATAGATCCTCATCTAGAAGCTAGAATCATGACACCCCTGCGGCACTCCTGCCAAGAATTAGAATCGGAATGAATTGGATTTCTTTGACACCCCGCAAAAGGAAGATGCAAAAGAATTACTAAATTGACAACACAGCAACATCACGTTTTACAATCCCGCTATCTGTAACCTAGCCGCTTGCGTCATGGCAATATCCTGCTCAAAGAGGAGGCTACATGACTGCCATTCACTACAGGCCCTACAAAATCACCTGAGCTGACCAGCGTCGTTGTTGCAACTCTGTGGCCACCTCTGTAACCAGGTTGCCCGAGCATCCGCAGCCAGGCATCATGCCCTTGGTTCCACTTGAGCCAACAACAGGCGCGACAGTAGCAGTAGCAGTGGCAGTGGCACTGGTAGTCGTAGTCGTAGTCATAGCAGCAGCAGGAGGAGTAGTAGCAGCAGTAGGAGTAGCAGTATAAAGACGTAGCAGTAGTAGGCAGTAGTAGAAGTAGTAGTATCATTAGTGGTAGTGGTAGTGGTAGTAAAAGGAGTAGAAGGAGCAGAAGGAGCAGTAGTAGTAGTAGTAGTAGTAGTATCTTATATGTAGTAATATACAGATGGTAAATAGTAGTATATAGTAGTGTATAGTAGTATGTAGTCGTGTAGTAGTATTATAGTATATTAATGTATTGTAAAGATTGTAGTAGTAGTCGTCGTTGTCGTCGTAGGAGTCGTAGTAGCGGTAGCGGTAGCGGTAGCGGTAGGGGTAGTGGTAGTGGTAGTGGTAGTAGCAGCAGCAGCAGCAGTAGTAGTCGCAAATAAGTCCAAGTCCAAGACCTAACTAAGGCCTCTAAGAAGTGTTCAGGATGCAACATGATGCTACTGGTCAATCTGATGGGTCCGAAGCTTTGCTCACAGGCTCACAGACATCTGAAGATGGTGACAATAGTTCATTGATGTTGAGCTTTGTTGCAAAAGGCGACGTCCAATCGAACTCCAAAGTTGAAGCATTGTGAAACAACGCCATTCACCTCGCAGACTCGCGTGAACAGGTGGAACGCAACATGTCGCTTGACGAAGAATCGAACGCCAAGCCGCATTGACACTGCGGAGGCACCAACAGTCTCGCTCTTCATCAACTGAACTGATCTGAGCATACGGCATACCTGAAGAAGAACTGCAAAAAGAGCACAGAAGATATTATGCTTTCTACCGCAAGCGATGTAAACTCCTGCCAAGGACCTGATCCTACCATGCACGAAAGCAGAGTCAACATTGGAAAATATTCAATATGGGACCCGAAAGGACGCCCCTAATTACACATTTGATTCTAATAGCTTCTTGTTACTACTAGTAAGGCACTTGTTCCTAGTAGCGATGCACTTGTTACTAGTAGCTACATAAAGGAAGTTCTTTCACGCCCAAAATCTATTCGAGTGCAGACACTGTTGACCGAATCGCCAATGCAGTTCACGGACTTATAGATCTGCTTGTCTGGCTCCTGAGCAAGCGTTGGACCCATGGATGTGGCAGTGAAAAGATCTCAAGACTCCTCTTCAACAAAATACCTACGTACCAGCATGGTCAAGTCAAGCATCCAAAGTAATAGTGTCTTTCTGGGTGAAGCAGCAGCAAGCTGACCTTAGCTCATCACTAATAGCTGCCCAAAACCTTTGGTTTGCCAGTCGCTGGTACCCTCTTGACAAAGTGATTTGTACGAGCTATGGAGGTACAAGCACTACCGGGAAGAATCATCTGTCTTGAGACAAAGACAGAAAAAGAGATTGATTCAATTAGTTCACCCCTCCAAAAAATCAATCGCCAACCGGCAAATTTTGGCAGCCCTCAGCTGCCAGTGCCTTGCCCACTGGTTGTACGTGCACCAGGATTAAAGGGGTCACTGTGGAACATCGCTTTATGAATGTTAAAATCATGGCACTGGCACCAGCCTGCACGGCGCCATCATGAATTTGTGGGTCGTAGCGATCGGCAGAATGAGACCACATGCTTATAACCCAGCCACGCACAAAGGTTCGTGACGTCATACTCCTTCATGGGGAACTGCTCGGAAGGCTTCGCATGGGGCCTTGCCACAGAGTAATGCTGGGCTATAGCTGGCTTGTAGCTGTTCAAGGCTGGAAAAACACTTACTGTAGTTCAGGTCTTGTTTTTTGAATTGTGATGCCCTCGCTCCCCTCACCCCTCCAAGCTCTTGTATCCTGCCTGATGGGTGGCAGAAGTGGTGTTTGACCGTATAGCTGCGACATGACGCTCTGGGAAGGTGGATATGTCCTGAGCAGGTTTCGGGCTGCCGCAAGAGCCGCAGGTTTCTAGGATATGCCGCTCAAGGGTGCAAAGACCCAGAATAATTGCTCCTAACTACCAGTGTGGTTTGTCCAAGCCTTAAGCATCAATCTCATTCCAAAATGGTGGCGACATCCATCCTTTGAATGTGTTAGACTTCTATCGCCTTGGTGCGAACCACCAATGATATGCCAACACCCTTGAAGCCCGAGCACGTGTCAACGCCAAGCTCATGTTGAAGAACTGTCATCAACAGCCGAAGATCATCTACCTGGTGTCCCACTGCGGGGTGGCAACAGGTTCTTTTGGATGTAAAACATCCAAAAGAATCACTGACACAGCAATCGAACGTAATTTTGGCTCTTTATGGCTCTTTCCACTGAGTGAACATGGCTAATCTGCGCTCACCTGCTAATCTCCGCTGGGTTCATAGTTTTTGCTCCCCAATCCCTTGATTCAGGGTGTGAATGCAGGCTACCTCGAAGCACAGAAGACCGCAGAAATGAGTTAGACTCCTTTCCAAAGTCGGTGGTTTGCATAAAACGCAACACATGAGAGATGCTAGCACGATATGTTCCTATAAGGGTCGACTGGTTCAGCGAGGCTCGACGAGCATCACTCACGCTTGAGGCCAGCAGGGGTAAACGAAAGCTAGGGCGATCGATTGCAAAAGGTAATCCTGGTTCAATCAATCAACGATGCTTAAGCGTAACAACCAACTTCATATTATCTTATCGATATCGACGGGTGGGTAGTTCTGTGCTTGCCTCAGGCCTCCCCTGGCTTGCTAAAGCCACAAAAGAACTAATTTAGCCAACACTAGCCGCTCTAGCCTTCGTGACGTGTGTATATATGTGTGTGTGTGTCTCCATAAATCATCAGATTGACATTGGTGAGAGATGAGGCAGAAGCACATTTGAAAGCAACATGTCAACAAAGCACAAAAGCAAAGACATGTCACCAGAACATGACTCCTAGCACAAAACCAAGAAAAAGTACAGTCATAAAACAAAGCCACGCTCAGGCAGGGTCACTGCTCTTTCACACATACAGTAGGACCCTTGGGAACCCCACACACCGGACGCAAAAAGAAGAAAAAGGGCAGCCTTCTCCATGATGGCCTCCAGTTTCTTCATCTGCCCTATGTTTCCCCGGATTTCAATGCCTCGGCGCTTCGTCCGGCGAAGCCTCCGAGGCAGAGAGAGGAAGTGGTTGTATAGACACGTTCGATGATTTCAGCACCAAAACATACACAGAGGGTCACAGGGAGGAATTGCTTTGCATCTCTGCAAAGTGGCCTTCCTACTCATTGGCCAAAATGTGTCCGATGAACAGAAAATCCAAGGGCATCAATGCAGACTTAACTATTGAAACCTCAGCCAATCCTGCGCGTGGGGCTGAGTGTTAGTCCTCGAAACTGGCTCCAGGTAGAACAGTAAACAGGCGGCCTTGAGCATATACAGTCTGAGTGCATGTCCAATGGTTTAAGAAATAACTTGGGTGACATTCTCACTTTGTGGGAAGTTTTTTTCACTCCATGTCAGTAAAAATATGTCATAGAGGCATCTACGACTATGACTATGACATTGATTAATAGATTGTTAAAAGTCCTACTTCATCTAAAGCAGTATGTTTTCTTCTGCTCTTTTCTCACTGACTCTCTCTCTCTCTCTCTCGCTCCCTCCCTCCCTCTCTCTCTGTAAATATATATATATATATATATCTGTGTGCGCCCAACCGCATCAAACCCCCCATCCTCCCCCGAATTTGGGTCCAGCATGCGCCGCTTCAACTCATCCACAATCCTTGGTGGACCAACTGCAGAAGGGCAAGCGAGCGCGGGTATGTCAGGGGTTAGGAAAGGAACAAAGTTGTGGGAGTAAAGGAAGTTGGCAAAGTTGGTTGAATTCTTGGGAAGAATCCTTCAGTCACACTCTTTGACACTGTCCGAGCGACATTTATAGTTTACACATATATATGTACATATCATATCAGAAATTGCCAGTACACGATGATATGTTCCAGAAAAAAAAAAAAAAAACGCAAGTGTCAACATGGAATGGCAAGTGCATGTCACAGGTCCAAACAAAACAACCTCTCGAGCACTAGCATCGATCTGGAGACTGAGCCCCTCAGTTTCTGTCTTCCTTTAGAAAGTTAGAAGTGTGCTGACTGCACGATCCACCCATCTTCACCCAATTGGCCACCCATCGCATCACCCGAGCGACTGCGTGATCGTCGCATCATCGCATCCAGTGCCATTGGCTGAGCAAAGCGGTGCGTGAGACCAGGCATCCAACACCGAAGGATGGGCAGGCAGGGTCAATGAAAAACGGACTATGTCTTCCCTACTGTATGGAAGAGGGAAAATGCAGCAAAAAATGTAATCCCACGAACATCTCCTTGTGCATCCCCATGCGAACGTCCAGGACAAAGCATTCTTTGGCTGAGAACTTTGAATGATACATGCGTGACCAGTTCAATTCATGACCTGGACAAAGAAGGTTATGCGTTTCTTGTCGGTGCCACTTTCCCAATACTTGCTAAATATTCCTGCCTGTTGTCTAACTGCAATGAGCCAAGTGGGGTGGTTACAGTAGCGAGGTGTCGAACCTTCTGAGCCCTCGTGATCATCAACGAGTCTGTATTTGCTTCTAGTAGAAGCTCACTACAAGCAAACAAAAGCCTTTCAACCATTAAAGGTTGCTTTGGCAACACTGGATTCCCATGCTAAACACTGGTCGACTACACACCAAATGGAGCCACAAGAACCTGCCATTGCATCATCCTTCTTGCGTTGGACACATCAGTTACAACAACATATTGAAGAAAACGACCCGCAAACCCATGCGCATCTGAGAGGCAAAGAGGTTCAGGAAGGAGCTCCCCAGCCGTCATATTGACGCAGCAACCACAACCTTTGTTCTTCTGCACCTCAGAGGGTGAATCCAGCTGGGACGATCACATGCGGCAAAAAAGCTGCAAGGCATGCTTTTGTTGATTGCTCCTAGTAGCGATGCCCTTTGCTCCTAGTAGCGTCCTTGCTCCTAGTAGCGATGCCCTTTGCTCCTAGTTGTATCTGGCTGTGGTTGTGTTCTGTGTCCATCTTGGTGTGGGGCACAGCGAGAAATAGAAACGTAGTCAGTCGGTAGTCTAGTTGATGACTCACCTAGCGTTCAAGCTTCGAAAGCGTTGAGATGTGGCAATAGTTAAAGTCCAGGGCAGTGCACAAGGCACAAGTCGAGGGGTCGATATCTCGCTGCTTGTGATGCATGGCATGGCATGTCATCCTCTGATAGTTGAGCAAGTTAATATAATATAGTATATAATCAGCATGACCATCGCTGATAGGTTGGAGGCCATCGCTATTAGAAACAAAAAACAAAGAAAGGAAGAAAGGTGTTGGATGCATGGTGGAGCTTGTTGCCGGTGATAGAGCGGACTTTCTCATGCCGAGCCTGGAATTGGATCCTTGTCCACTTACCCATGCATGCAATCCGCTAGGCTTTGTTGAATCCAGGTTCGCTGTCTTAGCAACCTCCCATGAGCCAGGATGCATCGTCAATCTGCGCATAGGGTCTTCGTTCTGTGATCGTAGCCCGATCTAAACCTTTCCTTGGTGGAGACAGACAGCAAAGTCGCAAGGGTACAGGTCGTTGTTGGTTCCTTGCCACTGTGCCTGTCTGCCGTGTCATTGAAACCCTTCACGGAAAACTATGGTGTGTTTCTTTTCTTCAGGCTGGGCATAAATGTCGCAAGTTGTTACAAACGAACCAAAACAATATTGTAAGGGAATGTGAATTTCTTTCCGCACCGCCATTTGAACTCCTCTGCCCGCTAGACCGGACATCCCCATGTACTTCACCAATTCCAAGTGTTGGAGTACGCAGTGTAGCCCCCAAAAAAACATTTGTATTTATAGAGGTGGGCACCTGCGCCTTTGCATCCAATATTTGCCAAGTTTCACTGTCCTGATAACCACTTCATCTGGGCCAAGCTCGATGGTTCGGCTGACACAGTTCCTAGGCATGTATCGACAACGAAGGAAGACCCTGGAGTCGAAAGGATTTGGGAAGAACGCAAATTGTCTTTTGGTATCATGTGTACACTGATTATACATATGTTGCATCAAAATCATACGCTGTAATACGCCGTACGCATGAAGATCTAACCATCTGATGGTGTCACACATTGGCACCACTCCGAGAACCAAGATCTCTGGTGCCTCGAGTTCTTGCTGAGAAACCTCCGACCCTTGCTGACGCTAAGAAGTTAATCTGTTCCGACGGGATGTTCTTTGCAGCTTGACACCTAAACCTGTCTTGGACACATGCTTGCCACCCGTTGCAGGAGGATGTAGCAATGTAGCAGCTGCAAAGGGCCCTTCCGAACAAGGTGCCTTCCAAACAAGGTGCTGCGACACCCACTGCCAATCACTGTAGAACACCAGCTCTAATGGTTGCTTGAGTGACAAGCCCAAGCGCGCCCGGTACCCGCAACGCCCGCATTGTCGCACGATTGGTGGAGAGGAACCCAGCCAAAGCCACACTTCATTGGAATGAAATCTTGCGATACCCTTTGCCCTTAACCTTGACCTGGTTTGGCTTGCTTCATGAGGTTCATATGCCACTAAGACTGACACTCTGCTAAAACCTTACAAATATGTGCGTTCAAATGTTTGTTTCCTGCCGTGAATGTCACGGTTGTCCTCAAACCTCAACAAGTCCTCATTGCTCGCAAGCTTTTCTGGAACCTGACAACTCCGACTTCTGTCCAGTTCCGAAGGTGCTTCCAAGGAAGCTCATGTAGTTCATTTCACACAAAGTATGTGACAACTAAATGTCACCAGTTTGTAGTTCAGTACCTCTTTTCTGGACTTGCAAGGATGGCTCATGCTATCTCTTTGTACAGCTCGCAGGATTCCTCCCTGCTGACTGTGCGGTATCGCGGATTCGGCGCTTCGCTCGGATCGGTCCACGTCAGCCGAGTGTCAAGAGCTCGCAGCAGCACACCACATCCCACGACTGGAGGCGCTCGGCCACTCGGCCCGCAGAAATCGGAGTAAGAGGGGTGCCTTTGAGTGGCAATGTGCTTGAAACCAGGTTGCTATAGCTCTCTCCCAAACGCGCCAGCTTGGCTTCAAAAGCGTGTTGGGACAGAGTCAACGATGGCCGCGTTTCTGGCCTCCACCTTCTTGGGATAATTAATCCGGAGACGAAGGAAGAACATCATGCAAAAAAGACATGAAGAGTCACGTGAGTTGGATCTATTTCTCCATGTCCTGCTGCAGTGAAAGAAAACCTCTCTCTGTACTTGCAAGCCCTCACCTTGAGGCCATTGAAACCAAAATAACAAGGGGGTGTCAGAGTCAGGGAGACCTGTCCTGCAATCCGGGACAAATGGAATGTCGGAATGCCCAATAAATCCCAGAACTCCCCCTGCCTGCGTGTCGAAGGTTGGCTCTTGAGGCGGCGAGTACAGCTCTTTGAAAGTCTGGCGGCGAGTACAGCTCGACAAAATAACAAACTGAACAACACGGACAACGTTTGCACATAGTTACATAATATTTAAGGCTTCCCTGCTCTAGGATGCTCTAGGAGCAAATAGGAGCAAATACATACACCCATCTTGGATTACAATTGTGCGGAAAAAAGCAAGCAAATTCACTGGCGGCAATACCACTGCTACCTAAGTCGTTCTTCCAAATAGTTGCTCTTCATGAGAACATCGGAGGTGGTGGTTCTATTCTAAACTTTGTAGCACCTTCAACACTTCACTACCTGTAAACGCCTGCGAACGCCCGCACAGCTTTTTGAAATGCACTTGTCGAAGAAAGCATTCCCAACAGCCTATGTTACAGCACAACAGCTGGTGCAAAAAGAACACAAAAAGAACAGCTGTCCAATCAAAGTAAATAAGCGGCACAGCGGACTGCCTTGACTGAAGGCGCACCCTGTGGAAACAGCTTACTAAGGATCCTGGGCGCCAAATGCAAAGGAACTACAAAATATGTCACAGCCATCGCAATAGATACGTTGTATCAAAGCTTGTTGGAGGCACCCGTAGTAAGGACCCGTTGCTTCTGTGAGGTCCATTTCACTTAAGGTCCATTCCCCAAGAAACACCCATCATGAGTTATGATGAGTTTGGGGAGGTAGCTGCGTTGTTTGGGAGGTTCAGGCCAAATGATGAAGTCCACCTGCTGTGGCAAACTCTTCTTTCATAAGGTTCTACTACAATACAATGCAGCAGCTAGGAAAATGGGTCAGGGCATTTCCTGGTGAATACCCGAGACAAATAAGCTCAGAAAGATTCATCCCTGGTCCAAAACCCTTCAGAACACCCTTCGGGTTGCAATTCAAGCTTCCAGACAGGTGCAGATTCAACCATCTGATCTAAAAGGAAGGGTCAAAATCGAGGAATCCAAGCTGCATGGGCCTCTAGCGTGTAAATTGGAGATGTGCCATCCGTCCCAATGCAGGAAAAGCAAATGACAACGATTGCATGAAGGCAACCGATCCTTAAAACAAACCTTCCCCTTCTCATCATGAAAACCTGGGCTTTCCCAATCTTTGACCGTCGATGCCAGCCTGCTGGCCGTCGACCTGACTTAATGCCGTCGATACCGTTCTCTTCTCCAAGGTTTGTCCAAAGCTGGACCGTTTACTAACTGCTGGCAGTCTGCACCAAATCCGTTGGGGCATGCTCATATATATATATATATATATATCATGCACATCTGGAAAGAATTATAGTAAGCCAGCAGCCAGGTGCCCCAATCTGATCCACATCTCCACCTTTCTCACTTCTGTCAAAAGGTTGTTCTTGTATTGAAGCAGAACCTGCATCCAGAGTCCCCCTTCCAAAAGTCAACCGTTCATGCAGCAGTGAGGCGAGTCCGATGGAGGCCAAGCAATGCCCCGCTTGGACATGACCAGAGGCAGTTGCGCCGTCAGCTTTGTGATCTGCTCCTCTTGACAGTCAGCTGGCAGTAAGCTGTCGATTGGGTAAAGACATGAAAAACCCGAAGAAACAAAGGCCAAAACATGCCAAAACGATCAATTGCTTTCTGAGGCACCATCAGAAAGGTCTGCCTGCAGCGTGCGAGTAAATCCAGAGCAGGAAAATATCATGAGATAAAATTGGTTCGTCAGCCGATTTCCGGTTTGATTGCTAACAGCTTGTCCATGACCTTCTTTTTCTTCTCTTTTTCTTTCTTTGTAATCCGTTGGCCGACTGAGATTTCAGCACCTATGTGAGCCCGACATTCAAAGATCCCCGCCACTGTTTGCCATGCTTTTCTGCTGACATTGGGGATACACTGCCCGCTCTTCTCATCCAAGATCAACAACACTCTGCTAAAGTTCTGACCTGCTCTGCAGGTCCTTCAAGAGTAGTAGCTAGTTTCCAATTGTTCCAATTGACAATTAGGTGCAAAAAAAAACGCCGGACGCCTCAAAAAAGTGTCCTACGCATTCGCATTGCTGGGCAAACAGGCATAACACATGCCATACCAAGCCATACGCTCTCCAAGTGCACCCGCTGCTCTCGTCAAGAACAAGTGCAACCGATGCATCTGAGCCACTGCTTGCGTTGGGCAGTGTCTCCTCGACCCTCCATCCGTGCCCGCAGCTCGTTGCAAATCTCCTGGTCAAGTTCCACCGTGGTTACGATGAAACCAAAAAGATCTTCGGAATGCAGCACCTGATGGTCAGGTGAATCAGAAGTCCTGGCGTTGCCTTCCGCTCCAAGAGAACGGAAAAGGAAAAAGACCACTTACATAACATATCCTCACATACCTATGCGACAATGTGGATCTTCTGCCCCAATTCGTTGAAATCTGCATGCGAGTTAGTTGTAGTATGATATAGTATGATGTTATAGTCATAGCTAAATCAAAAAAAGTGAAGCCTTGGCATCTTGATCTCTATGGGTACAGGAAAACATGCACAAAAGATGCACCTTGAAGTCTTTTTCACCACCTACAAAGTCGGAACACAAATGGCTTGGTCGTGGAAACCGCATGTCCGGCACCGAGACATAGTGCCTGAATGCATCTTAGCAGTAACACCTAAGTGAGTCGTGGAAAGGCTCAGCTGTGCCCAGTCCTCTGTGTAGGGTCTATCGATACCGAAGAAAGGCCGTATTCCACCTTCACCTTCCAGTCGTTTCAGTTCGTGACTCAAATACCAAGATGTCTTTGAGATTCAAAGACAAAACTCTAAAGCAATTCAATTCCTGGTACAAACGCCTGCACTGAGATATCTTCTACATGACCTGTTGTTGCTAATTTGTTCCTTATCAATCCTTATCATCTTTATACAAGGTGACTTCTTAGTAGTAGTAGCAGTAGCAGTAGCAGTAGCAGTAGCAGTAGCAGTAGCAGTAGTAGTAGTAGTAGTATATAAGTAGTAGTATATATATAGTAGTATATATAGTATATATAGTATAGTAATATATATATATTATTCATATATATATATGAATCTCTAGGATTACCATTATCTGTGTTTTCTCAAACTCAGATTCATTCATGTGCCTTTCTCGTTCACCTTCTCCAAGTTCGAACTCATACCCACCTGAGATATTCGATCTGATCGGAACAAGAGTGATCCATTCTTGGAGGTCTCCAAAAGATATATAATTTCATCCTCCAAGGGTTTTGGTGTTTGCATAAGAACAAGCAAGTGGTTACCCGTTACTATGCCAAGATGATGATGTTCTGCATGGTTCTGCTGCTATAAAGTATCTATGTTGCATTCCCTTTCAAGCAATCAACCCGATGCGAAGTTGATCCCCGGAAAATTGGCGAACGAAGAGGTACCCACGGCCAAAGTCATTGTCGTAGGTAAGTTTCACAAATTCCTGATGGGAATGTGTTGGTTTGCCCCAGTTGGTACTTCTCCCTGCTCTAGCCCTCTCCAGAACGCATATTTACATACTCAACATATCTCAGCAGCATGAACCCTTTTATATACTGTACAAGCCTAATGCATCGAGCCACGCAAAGCCCACAGCAAGAGTCATGAAGCTCCACAGAGCCCAGCTGTGCATAGGGCCGTTTCTGTGTGCTGCTACCGCACAAGTTCCTGGTGTCAGCTGCGAAACCTGAAAAGTTCGACTAAGACTACTTGGGAAATAACCAAGTAGCATATTGGAAACTTGGAAACAATAATGTAATATACGTATATCCAACTCAAGAGTTTAAGGAAAGTATCGTGGGGTGGAATGGGTTCCTCCAAACAACGTCAAAAAAGCTTGCGGTTTGAGCTGGACGGACGTTCCTCCGATCATGCTTCAAGCTTGGTGACGCTGGGAAAGTTGATAGGTCTGCTTGGGGAACCCTTCCGGAAACAGTATCATGTCTGCTATGCAGCATTATTGCATAAAGGAACTATTTTTGTGTACCAAGGATTCACCCCAACCATTTTTCGGAACATCTGCTCCAAAAGGTGCTACTTGAACCACCCCAAACCCCGTCCTCTGCTTGTAAAAGACTTCTTCACTCTGCAGGTGCAGTGTTTTGGTCTGCCATCCGCAGCAAGGGCACCAACAAAGCAAGCACCCACCTGAGTCACTGATCGACGCTGCACTTGCTGCTTCTGTAATCTGAACAAGCATAGATCCTAGAGAGGTTGCAAGCTTGTCTGAAAGATGAGACGGTGTTGACAGTATACTTTACCCAGTGAACCCTGTGCATATGCAAGGAGCTTCCAATATTCCATGCTCGCCTTCAAGCGGAAGGCTCGGTGAAAGTACCCCGCAAGGCTCGGGATGGTCATGTGTTCACTTCAAGCAGGGCATGGCTACTTTCCCAGGGCATGGCTGCGGAAAGAACTTGGACACCTTCAGAAACCGGTGCAAGAGCTTATCATTCCTTTTTCTTGACTACGAGACTACGACCAATTTCTTAGTGTCACTCTCCTGGAACAACAACAACAACAACAACGCTGAAGCGGTTACAGTAAGAGCACAACTCTATGAATATTTGGACAACATGTGATGTTTACATGGCCAAATGCTCCCTCTGGTTGATGGTTGCTTGACAAAGGATTTGTGCTTGACCAGCAGCTTTCGATGTAGTTTGTCACATCATACCTCAGCACAACCAGACTTCCATGATGTAATTACAAGTTCTACTGTTAAGTTTCCCTAAGAATCTAGAAACAAAGTCATTAGGAGCTTCCTTGAAGAAGCGTGAGCTATCCTGCGTCCATACTAGTAGCTACTTAAGCTACTAGCTACCTCTTCTACTAGTTGCTAGCTATCTAGCTACTAGCTCTACGGCCTATCCCCCCCTCAAAACAAAAGCAGGGCCGATATAATGGTCGGACATTGGATGGCAAGTGTTTGAGGGTGTACTGAGTCCAGAGCCTTCGATGACATGGCCTTTCAAGGAGGTCGTTCGCACAGTTCTCTCGATCCCTTTGAAGACATCCAGGAATCCAGCCTAGTTATGTTTTTACGAAAGCCTGCAGGAATACATGTCGATAAACGGTATTCTCAGCATGACTCCGGGCAGTTGACATACAGTTCAAGCCAATAGTAGAATAATAGTGCGATACACACAGGAATATCTATATCTAGGCGACATATGTCTTTAGAATTCCTTAGTTGTATGTAGACCAACCCAGAACTTCCAATGACTCATTTTACTCCACGTCACAATTACTCACAATCCACCACTACCATAGGGGTAAAATGGAGCATTTGGACTCTCAGGGCAACAGATACCATTCGAAAGAGCGATAGTTCACTATGACAAAAGCCAGAGAAATCACGCACCCCGTTCGTTTTCCGAAAATCCATAGCAACCAGACCTACCGATGCCAGCCGTGTGGCTTTTTCTCCGGAAATCTTTGCATCAAGTTCTCCATGGCGATCTCAAACTGTCCTCACGCCATGGAATGGATGAGCAGGATTCAAGGCAAATGAAAAATCAAAGTGCGTAAAAAGGGATTGGGTTGGGCAAGTTGGTATCAAAATGGGAAAACTTAGTAGTCTATGTGTCTACTTTCTTGCCGCTGGTGTTGGCCTTAGTTAAAGGCGCACCTTGAACCTAAACCGATTTGGCAGAAAGGTCCCCTCAACTTCCAAAGGGGCGCAGGCACCATCGAGACATGACGAGGTCGAGGATGGACATGTATGGACTGACTCCAACAACCTTTAGGAAACTTTAGGCAAGTGCAATTGCACACGCTATCAAACGGAGCTTATGACCGTAGAACTCTGAAATTGACCGTTGTGGAAGTTGCAAAGAAGTGTCGAGGCTCCATCACATGAAGCCTAGCAAGTCTGTGGCCTTGTTCAAGTATGAACCTACTGCGCTGCTGCCTTGCATATAAACATCATTCAGCGAGAGGACGGATGATCCCTGCAGTCAGCAAGGGGATCTATACGGCGAATCACGAGCAAAAGCAAGCAATGACAGGATGCAAAATGCAATGCCATAATTTAATGGAATGTGTATACAGAGGTACATTAGCCTACACAACCTCTGCACAGGCTTCAGAGATACCAATACTTCCAATATCAATTGCCAGAACTTCAGACACCTCCAAAGGTGAAAGGCAGTCCTGCTTTGAACTATGAATGGGCGCACAAACGGGTGACAACACAGACCTTGAGCCTACAAAGCTTGCCGATGCAACGTCAAGTCGAACAAAGGTGCAGGTCCTCCTCATATGAAGAATTTACCCAACAGTCTATTGTGACTCTCACTTTACCAGGCTACAATGCTGCGTCTAAATGGCTGAAGGATATCTTCCCATTGGCAGGAACCTTGAAGCGGCCCAAGGGCAAAGCCATGCTATACATCACTAGCAGCCAAAGCAATTCCTTGACATCCAGCCAGTCGCCCACAAAAACGAGTACACTCTATTCAAGCTGAGTTTCCTACCACCCCTGCAGATATATTTGGATGAGATCTCCTTTTAGCATCACCATCTAGATCAATCGGTCTCGCCAGGCCGGTGTCACTAGGCGCTCCGGACTGAGGTAGACCCGCCCATGTCTAGGGTGGTCTTGGAAATGCCTGCCAACAGATCCACCGTCATAGTCATAGCTTGTGGGGAGGGCCAACTTTCTACATAAGAGGACTATCATAGTCATTGCCATTGATATGTCACACGTCGAAATATCGATTATTGAGATCCGCTTGAGAATGTCACGTTCGCTGCTGTTTCAGAAATCAGGAAAAACAAAAACAGTTGCTTGAATGGGGGATGTGCTAGAAATACAGCAGTGTGTTCAAAAGAAGGGGGCGCGAAGGCGCGGGGGCCCGCCCAACACGCCTCAAAGGACAATTCATGAGCAGAAAAAATGTCATATAACTCAAATACATGTACTCTTAGGGTTTCATTCATTAAGAACATTATATATAGTATCTTTTTATTGCCCTAGTGTTTGGAGTTGATCTAAGATTGTTTTGTTGCCCATGCTCTGGGGTCCTACGTGTATAGGTCTGTTCTGGGCCAACTCCTTACGCAGCCTTACACAGTCTTCGTCTGTCATTGTCCTAACTCTGTTGGATATTGTTCGCTCTTGCCTAGGCCCACACAACTCCTGGCCCGTCCAAGTTTGAAAATAGATAAGTGAAGTTATGTAAGTCTATATAAGTCTAAATAAATGAACCTATCTCTTCCGTACCAAAATGTCACTTCATCCTATCCCTTCTAGGAATCCTGGAAGTTCCAGTTGCCTCGCAGTCAGCTCCTTGCGATTCAAATAGCCTTCCCCAACCTGACCAGGAAATGCTTGATAGAATACCCCGCGCATTGCAAAATTAGAGCAACTGGATTGAAAAATGCCAGTTGAATGCCAGCTAGCACCAAAAGCATCGTTCAAGCCTAAAGTGATCAAGCAGAAACATGCTTTGTGCTAGGGCAATGTCCAAAAACCCTGTGAAACGTCGCCAAGTCATTGATCAATTAAATGGGTATTCTGAGACTCGGACACGCCAGAGTTGGCATTGGCCGCAAACGAGTTTTTTAACTAAGATTCTTTCAGATGTTGACCAGCATATCTTCAATACGTGAGCTTTGATCGTGGTCCAGGCAAACGCCATCTCCACCGCATCCCACGCCCACTGCTCCTGGGCACCGCCAATGATCAGCTCACCCTCCAGGCCCTAGCGACGTGTGCGAAGAAACGGCCAAGCAATGCGGAGCAAAGGTCAAGTGAAAGCACGACATGTTTGGATTGAGTTGCAAATTGTTCTCTAGAAGCACGGTGACACCTGAGCCAGCACGAGAGCGCCGGCCAACAACTACGGTGCAGGGAGACACTTTTTTGATCCAGCACGGGTCAAATTTCTTGAGTCCTGAATAGCGCCTAGTCCACCATCACACTTCGCCATGAGGTATTTCACACGTCTGTTTGCCAAAACGTGATGATTCTTAAAACCTGCTGCTTTTGTCCAACAGCGTGTTGCGGCAATTTGTGCAAACTACCCCTGTTGAGAGCCAGATAGCATTGGAAGATGGTTGCTTCATTTTCCTAGCTTAGCACCCAGGTTCAGGTCTCCATGCCAGTTGAGGCCCCCAAGCCGGCAGAGGCGGGAATTCGAGTTATGGAGTATTATTAGTATTATGGAGTATCATGGAGACTTGCGGGAGTGATATCGCAACGCTGTTGAGTTGGTGGAGCACTGCGCGGGCCGGCTCATCCCTACACGCTCCTGCCTGTCTGTGTTTGTTGACATATTTCTGAGGATGGCGCAATCGAGCTCGACGCGGAGCCGAAGCCGAAGCCGAAGCCGGTGAGGTCTGATAGTGTGGCGGAGGCCCGATTGAGGGAAGTCGTTTCTGTGGAGAGTTAGGGCATTTTGAGGGATTTCATTAAGTGTTGCATGGCTTTTTAGCTGAGAGGTTTTGTGTTGAATTGATAAACCGCCGGAATGATTGCACATCAGCTGGAAAAGTTAAAAGGGGCTCATACTATCTCATACTATCAAAGAACATTGTAACATTGTAATCTGTTGCACATTCGTTCAGGGCGCAATGCGATATTCAGGGACCCCATTTGCAAGCGAAGCTGGCTGCAGGTCAACAACACCTTTTTCTTTTGTTCACGTCCGGTTGTAGCACGCCTGTTGCCTTCCACACGCGGCACCAGCATTGCCACCACCCTGTGGCAGAAGAGGCCAGGGCTGCCGCTTCGAAGGCGGGCCTGCCACCACCTGCACCACCTACACACCGCCGTGGCCAGGCCTATCTGGTTCAAGTCTGTGCAGGTGAGATATAGTCTGAGACGCATGGAGCTGCGTGGAGGAATCTTTGTCAGCACTATTCCACACAAACTCGATTTTGCAGACACTCTCAGTTACACGGCTAATCTGGAAGGCGTTCTGCACGAAGGTCTTTGGTTCTTTCTCGGGCGGTGGATCCATACAGATGCCCCAACGGCAGGGTGAAGCTTTCTGACACACTGTACTGAATCTTAGGCAGATATCTACCGCTGTGGAGCAGCAGGATGGACCCTCTGTGTTTGCATCACGCACCGAGGGTCCTTGGAACTTGTGCTCCATACAACTTTGTGATGTAAGTGATGCAGCAACACATCAGACTGCATCTTCTGCATCATTAACTACATTCAAAGAATTAGCATTTGCCAAAAACAATTAACCCCACCAAGCTATGATGAAAGTTGCCCATTTTGTCCTCCACTTCCCAGAAAGAACTGCAGCCTAGCCTGTCGGCTGGCTTTCGTAACATTCTCTGACTCAATCATTCGTAACATTCTCTGACTCAATCACAGCGGCATTCAGCTAAAGCTGCATGCAGCTGGAAACACGGCATTCCCATGTATGAACGTGAAGAAGGTGGTGATGCTGCGTCACTATTATTGCCTCTTTCGCTAATCCGCCACTGGTTGACCATTTCCCCCCCCTCTCGCCTCCACGCAATGCGAGAGGTCATGCTGTAGGCTGGCCGATTCAAATGTTTGGAGCACCGAAACATGGGAAATTAACGCGTCCAGTCTAGACTCTCCCCTTCAGACACCACACTGCCAATGAGAAAACAACCTTGATCATTTCTGGCGAACAAGTATCAGCCTGTGTACAATCCGCGGCCACACCCACTCACTATGCTGAGTCAATCCCCCAGCTGTTTCAGCGCCTGCCAGCATCCTGGTCCTAGGGTTTGGTTCAATGACGCAGCGCAATGTCTGCAAGGGCTACACGTGCGCAGTTCAAAAAAGTGATCGTAAGCAGTTTAAAACTAAACAATGATCGTAATGCACGGTGAACATACTGGAACTTCTTTGTGGTATATAACACGTGGAACAAAGGCAAGTAATTTGTGTCCCGCACTTGTTGCATCTAGATCAAATTACACCTTTTGCTCTTGGAACGAATCTTCTGTGGTGCAGCCTTCCAGGAAACTTTCGAGCTACAGGGAAACAACGCCAAGCTTGGATGGCAAGAATAAGGAGCAAGAGAGAGAGATGTTTGGATTGCAATTGCTGTCGGATTGGAACGCAGTGGTCAATCATTCCCTACACATCTCCAAGCTGCTTTTTGCGACACAAATGCTGCAGGCTGCTACTCCCAGAACTGTCCCACAAGCATTACATGGGATGGTGCAAGAAATCCATGCACAGGCAGGTGATATTATGTGATCACGCTTTCATTTTGCTTGTTTGTGTTTCCCAACCGCAGCCATAAAGTATACACATTTGGGGCATGAGTGCAGAGTACAAGAATTGGTTGTTCGCAACTATGAAAATATCTGGTCACCCCTCGACTCGACCACACAAAATGGCTGCAGCATATGGACCAAAACCTTGTAGTAAGGCCAGGAGCCCCTAAGAGCTTCTTGTTCCTGGTAGCGATGCCAGAAGCTCCTAGTAGCTGCTTGTTGCTTTGTAGCAAGGCAAGGAGTCCCTAGTAGCTTCTTGTTCTTGTTCTTAGTAGTAAGGCCAGGAGTCCCTAGTAGCTTCTTGTTCCTAGTAGTAAGGCCAGGAGCCCCTAGTAGCTTTTTGTTCTGAATGTGCAGGTATAATCATTGTTATCGTGTTTTTTGCTCTTATTCGTTTTCGTAGGAATGCACATGCCAATACTAAACCGCTGAGCGCGGGGTTATTTCAACAGCCCATTTGGTGTTTGTCCTTGCTTAGTGAGTACAGCATGGGACAGTACTGAATTTGTTGAGTCACCCGGTACAGTGCTTAGCGGTTAGCATGCATGGGCCTGATTCAGGTTTTGACAAAGGATGCAATCCCTCAAAGAATTTACATGGTTCTGGTTACAGTATATGGATTTTGTTGCTATGGTCCACATACTTCTGACATTGTGTTCCAACTTTTGCTGTGGTGCCAAGGTGAAGCTCCACCTTTCTTGCGGCGCGTGTCAGCGTGGAATCCGGCCCGCCGGTGACTGAGTGTCTTCACTGGCGGCTCGGGGCATTGGCTGCGCCTTGGTGCATGTTGTTCCTTTTGAAAGGCCCCCCAGCCACAGGCGGAACATGCCGTATAGCTGCTGCTGGAAATATCGCCCATGCTTTTGAGGGGTTTTGGCAGCTGCTTCTCTCGCTAAGGTGACACAACCTGATCTCAGGTTCGAAGCAGTCACAGTTGAGTTTTGATCCCTGCGGGTCCTGCGGAAGAAGGAGCAGTTGGTTTCCAGGCAAGGGCAAGCCAACCAAGCTGGGCCTTGGCCAGGCAAGCGCTTTGGTGCGCTTGGCAAACGAGTTTTGTGAACTCCAACAGCAGCCAGCCTTGGAGGGTCTCCGGTCCCCGTCAGGAAGCCTTTATCAGTCCTCCGGGCCCCCTGCAGGTCCTCGGAGTGCATCAAACGAAAAGCGTTGTAGACGCAGCACTCGGTCACACCATACCTCAAAGCCAGAGGAAGTTGGGCTTTTTAGTAGAAAGTAGAAACAGTAGCTTGAACAGTTTCCATGGTCCCAAGTGTCGTCAAGCCCAAACTGCCATCAACATTGAAGCTGTGTCAAGCTTGGTCTTTCAAGAATGGTCAGATCGTGTTGTGGCCACCTAGAGCTGAATGGATGCTGGGGTGCTGCATGCTGAACTCATCTGAGCATCTCCAGAGCGAGTATGAGCCGTGAGGATTGCATGTGTATTTGGTGCAGGCATATGCACAATATTCAACCTTCGCACCTTTCACCTGACCAAATAAGTTAGTAAGTTTTGGAAGCAGATTGATGAATGAAGGACTCCAAAACTGCCCAAGAAGCGGTCTACAGCGTTCTTCCGGTCCACTGAGATTGCATCAAAGATCATTCTTGTGTCTATGGAACCACCAAGGCTGAGGTTCCACGCGTGTTGACCAGTGTCAAGGCTTCATGTCCTGCCCAGGCCTGGAAGGCATGACCCAATGGAAGCAAATCGCCACAGGTCTGAAAAAGGGAATATGATTTAATGTCGAAGCCCCTGTATCCTTCCAAATATATGAAGATTTGAGACCCTCTGCAATGGTCCCATGGACTAGCGGACTAGTGTCTACAGTCTACAGCAGCCTGAGACTCGTTTAGAATCTGGTGGTCCAAATTTGTTGCTACAAAATTGCTCTACGCAGCCAAGTTGCCTTCAAGTAAGGATTGCAACCAAGAATTCCAGCGTAAGATCACAAAGTGGCTTGAGCATAACCATTTCGGCATACCCTTCGTGAAATTTAGCAGTTTCCCAACCAGCGCTGTTGCTGTACTTCAAAAGGTCAAAAATAATATTATGTATTTTTAAAAATGTAAAATTTAGGTAATAAGAAACGATTCCGTGACCACAATGGTCTATGGTCCCACTCAGCCTTGACATACATTTGCTGGAACAAGCTGGTTCTGCACATTTAGAAGGATTAGAAGACTGACACAGGAACCTTTTTCTTTTCAACCACAGGGTGCCTGATTCTCCCTGGTTCAACCGATCTCCCAAACGGCTAGTGACGATGTGAACCACACATTGATGACCCTGCTCCTGGAATATATTTACCTGAGGCTTGATTATTATGCCAAGGGTCATGAGTCATGTCTCTAGCGAGTTTGCCTCGAAAATAAGAACACCCCCAGAAGACCCATGGCAGTCCTGAAACGGGAGAAACAACCAGCATGTGGTTCCCCTCGCTACAAACCTATTTTGGGGAGACTCGCCACTCGCCACCCTCGACATCGCCTCGAGTCCCGCCTCCAGAATCATCCTGGGCATTGGCTCGCCACCCAAGGCCACAGAGCGCAAGGAGGGAAGCGCTTCTGCCTGAGTTCACCAACGGAACTACGAATCCCGGAATGCATTTCGCTTCGAGTGAAAGGAAGCGTTAGGCATTGCTGATTTGCCTCTCAAAATCAACTATCATAGGCATAAAAAGGACGATGAACTGAACACCTGCCCCGCTGGGTTTTCCGCAGTCTGGGTCTCCGCTACTATGATCTACTATGCTTCTCTTGGCTGTGGCGGCCCCACGTAGACGATGTTTTAGCGGTTTTACGATGCAAGTTTCAGGTGAGAATGGTTTGTGGAAGGACAAGAAAACAGCGTGCTCTGCTCGCAAAGGATTTAGCACTTGACCTTCGGCCCACTGGTCCTGTGTCTGACATTGGAGCAAACTCACCTCACTAGGCCCAAAAAGGTAGGAAATAAGTTGCTTCTTATTAACACACTGCAGTTAAACGAAAAACACAACACAGGATAGTGTACATGCAAGAGAAAACAAAAGAAAACATTTAAGACGACCCAACAACAAAGCTCAGCCAACTGAGCCACCAGCATTTCCAGGTGCATAGCCTCAGATCTTGGAGGACTCTCAGAAAAACAACAAGAAGAAGACAAGAAGACTTTAAGGTACCCAATAGCAATGGCCTCCAACCTACTAGCGATGGTCTCCAACCTAAAAGAAGAAGAAGAAGAAGAATATCAAGAAGACAAGAACATTCAGGAGGGCAACACAGTTTGGCCGAAAATGCAGGCTTTTGAGGAACCTCTCTTCAAGAACACACAAAGGGGGAACGCCTGAAGGGTGCTGAAGGGAGGAATTCTGTGGTGAACAATCGTATTATGCATGGGTATCAAATGGTATCAGAGCCGATAGGACTTATCAATGACCATGGTCGCATCAGGATCTTGCATTCTGGGGTTTAGACGAGGTCTCTTGTTCGCACCGAGAAGCCTTTGCCCAGTGTGGCAAAGAGGGAAGGTGTGCAAAGGAGATGTGTCGCCTGGCTTCCACAGGCCACTGACGGGTTCGTCATCAGGTGCCATTTAAGCTTTCGTCTTGTTACCCAAGCTGAATGGTTGCTGGATGTTGCTGGAGACCTCTGTTTGACCTCATCGTTTATGCGTTAAAGTAGCGTGCCAGGTGCCATTTTAATTTTGGAGGTCAACAATATGGAAGCTGGGAGCTCAAATCTGTTGACATCTGCTCTTTTCAAAATTCCTTAGTAGGCGATATACAGGTAAACTTGATAAACTACTAGCAGCGGGACGCTACACGAGTCCAAGAGCTGGAAATACTTACGTTTGGCATTTGGAGCTCAGCGGATGATCTATTCAAGTAGTGGCACGTAGGGGTCAGCAGGTTTTCCACTACAAATCAGACGACATGTTCCTCCATATTGCAGCCCCACTTCAAACTCACTTCCGAGGTTTTCGAGACCTACCTCTGGGCTGAAGTGGGAATCTGCAAGCGAAACATGCAGAAACACCAGTCTGTTGACAATTCATCGGGCCCCATATCTCAATCCATCGGTCGGCAGCTCGGGAGCGTGGCCTCGGATTGTTGCAGCAAGAGGCCCAAGTGCTGGAAGAGGTCACGACCTTCAGGTCGAGGGCTGAGAAAATGCTCGAAAACTCTTGTGGGACTGATTTGGACTGAGTCTGGTGTTTGGGTATGCTGCCTCCATCCTCTTTGAAAGTTATATAATTAATAATATTAATATAATTAATATATATATATATATATTATCATTGTATCAAGGAAAAACATGTCATCAGGTATCACTTTGCACTCTGAGTTTCGTTGACTCTTGAGGGCAAGTTAGACTCTTGAGGGGAATGGCCTGCGGCCGACTTTTTGCTTGAGCTGCATCGGTGGCAAGACCACAATGCCAGCCCTTCAAGATGGGAACTTTACAAATTTGGCTAACGGTTTGCAAACGGCAAACGGTCGGTACCTGGTTGCACCAAGGCAGCCACACTGGAAGTTCTCACACTTCACCAGGTCCGACCACGCCATTCCGAGTCATATACAGTAAGAAAATATTCTTTGGAATATCTCGTGCCCTGTACATGCACGCTTGCCCAGCTTCTGTTCAAATCATAACTCGGGCAACTTCAATAACCTCAAGCAGGGCATAACCTGTACAACATGCCTGTGCTTGCGGTTTTGGTGAAATCAATGCCCCACAACCCGAAATGCTTCGAAACAAATCCGAAGTGTTTTATCAGAGCACTGTGCAAGAATGCAGGTGTCGATTCAATTTTCTGAGGATGTGCTCAATATCCAGGCAATTGAACAGCGTTCATGCAAGCAAATCGAGTTGGGTTAATGCCTGTGGGTGCTGGAATCAAACCTATCGTGAACTTCTAGGCGGTGACAGAGATTATTCGCAAAGCTAAGCTGCACTGCTTAGCCCAAACCGTTCAGTGCCACTTCAGGTGGAGCCGGAAGATTCATGGCCTCGTCCAAGGCCTCCAAGAAATTCCGATGTCGACAAACCAGATCGAACCGGGTCCAAGAAATACACAAGCGAAAGAGTGTGCTCCACTGACCGAGGATATGTTGATGTACCTTGGATCATCTTGGATCCATAATGTGCATCTGCCTCATGTCAATCGGTTTGTTGGCCAAGAACATGAACTAGCATTACCTTGCGACTGGTTTTCAATCTAAAGCCGACTTGGAATAACCATTGAAATATATTGAAACAATCTGCTCTCGAATATTGTTGAAGAAACCAACCCACCGCCGTCAAATACCAGCCTTCAGATACCGTGCCGGCATGTGAGCAGTGGCCATGTCGGATGAGATCAACATCTCATCAACACCAGCATGGGATCCTGCAAACACCGGCGTTCCGCTTTCGAACGCGAGGGAAGGTCTGGAAGTTGGGATCCATCCAGGAAAATGCGAGTGGAAGGAGTGGCAAAATAACTGGGGGTGTATATTAGCTAGCCAAGTGATCCTAAAGCCGAGGACTCGTTTCAGAGAAGCATGCTCGTGTCACGGAGTCTTCCACTCAAAGCCAATGCCTTTCAGGATTGCCGGGCGGTGTTGAGGCCATACCAAGCACCCTAATGAACCCTAAAAGCATCTGCAAAACATGTCAATGAATCCTTCAGATAGACTTTCAGCTCAAGGAATCTTGGATCTGACTCCCTAAACTAAGCTTGGGTTGTATAGAAGGGATGGTGAATCGTCGGCGCATAATGCATATACATATATATATATAACTATATAACAACAATCTTTGGACAACGCGAAAACAAGGCCTTCCACTACAAGAACATCCTCTCTTAAAAAGAATAAACAAGTACTGTATATAGATCCGGTGCAACACAAGCAGTCCCATGCCGGCTAAAGAAATCCAATCTTTGGATCCAACATACTGGCAAGGTAGCTGGATCTGCACCCCAGTCCTTCCAGGGCCACATAATGACTCTCTGCAGAGGGAATCTGCGCCTTCGAGGCATCTAATGGGGAAATGCAAAGGACCTGTTCCCCAAATACTCCAACGGGATCAACAGGATTGGGGGGTGTGGTATCAACTGGCCTCAGCAGTGCCAATCAATTACTGGCCTCCCACTTGGGCGCTAGCCTCAAGGGAGTCTGTCTGTTCCCGTCCTAGTGCACAAACACAAAAAAGTATTTATCTAAAACCGGCCCAGCATCCAACATGTGCAAAAATGCTGTGACCACCTTCGACATCGAAATCCGCCTTCCTCAAAAACATCAGCCGCCCTGCTGGAAAAAGCCTTGGACGCAATGCGGGGTTCCGGGCGTCGGCTCCAAGGGCGTCACACCGAACACGAGCTCTGGTTTTCAAAACGAAACTCGCATGAATGATCAATGATGCATGCAAAGCATAATGTATTTTACTGATATATACTGCATATCACCAAGGTCTTTCAACAGAGCATCCACTGGATCTTGAATACCCAAAAATGGCCAAACCTTCTTTGCGCCTGCACGGCGGTTCGCAATCGGCGATGGGGGAGCGGTTCGCCACCGGGGTGATTCTATATACAGGGAGGTCCCCACAGTGAAAGCAAAAATTGCTGAAAAAGCAACCACCAGGAGCCCCTAGTAGCTTCTTGTTCCTAGTAGTAAGGAGGAGCCCCTAGTAACTAGTAGCGTCCTTGTTCCTAGCAAAAATTGCTAAAACTCCTGTATGGAGATGCTGCAACCACCATACAGGTTGAGGGTGCTCAATCCCCTCCATCTCTGCCAACACCAAGACACCGGTTCTCCGTGCCTTTGGCACCGGCCATGATCTGCGTGTGTGCCTCGTTGTGATTTTTCGGTGACGGTCAATGGACGGTCAGGATATGGCCTCCAAACCAAATGCGGGACCTCTTAAGCGGTAGCGGTACCCTAGGCCCTAGGAATCGCCAAATGCCATTCCTTCTTCAATACGCAGGACATGCCTGTGCTCACTTGCTAAGTCAGTATTGCGTCGGTTCTGCATCCAAAGCAGCCACCCAGATCATGCCGGATGATCCGCCACGAGGGCTTAGCAACCAAGGCCAAGGAAAGTGTTTGTACCTGCCTAGGACATTCCTATTTTAGGACCGAGCTGCGATCTATGACTCTCACGGCCCAAAAAATGTCTTTCGAAACATGGCGACCCTTGCCAAGATGGCTTTGGCACTTCCATGCACTTCCTAGGCCTCCGGCTGCTGCCAGTCTCGCCATATCATCTTCTCCACCTGGAGATTGGAAGAAATGAGAGTCTCAAACCTGATGCTTTGATTTGATGTGGGGAGGGGTCATGGCTGGAAGCTACAAGTAGGTGGCGAATTCTCTTGAATGCTCTTCAGCCTTTTGAAATTGCGCTGCATCCAACATACTCGGCTGGTGACGTGCCAACTGGACGAACAGAGTGACTCAGAGGGCATGTTCTCCACACCAATGAATTCAAGCAAGAAATTGAGAAAATTATACATTGGCACAAATAAGGTGTTTCACTAGAGGAATCTAGAACAAACATAGTGTATAGAAGATTATAGAAGTATGAAACCTTTCAATTCGGCTTGCCAGAAAGGTTACAGTTACAGGGAGAAGATCTGTGCTTCGCAGTTCCCTTCCGACCTCGAGTGGCCATGGCTTGAACCGAGGCCGTCTGCAGTGTCACTGGCAGCTCGAAGGCCTGGTTGGTTTCTCGATGGTTTCCCTACACAAAATGGATTGATTGTTTTGTTTCTTGGTCTTTTAAGATTTGGAAGGACCCTAGTGAAGGCGGTCATTCATGGTCATTGCATGTCATTGTCCTTTTCACGACTCAGAACCATCCACGGCAAACAGTCTCTTCTCCGAGAAGACCACACAGAATTTGTGCGTTTTTAATCCTGAAAGTTCAAGTTAACAGCCAAAGACGGGTTTCCATCATTTCGATAAAGTGTTCGATGTTCTAATTATTCCATTCTCATTGGTCATATGAGTACTGGGAAGGGTCTTCGTAAGCCCTTACTTAGCAGTGTTTATTAACCATAATCAAGTAAGTCATTCTGCACTCTAAACATCCGTGGATTCCGACCGACCATCTTGACCACCCTACTGACGTGCCGATCCACTCGATCGAACATGTTTTGGCGCGATCCGATTGAGTGGCTCCTCTCAAACAAGACCATTGAGGTGAGCACAGCGACCATAAACACAACCTGTTCTCTGCTGGGCGATGTCCTGTTTTGGCCATGAGGCACTTCTCAGAGTTCATTCCAGACAGTCCTTCCTGCTCTTGGGTGGTGGCGTCCTTGCTCCTATTAGTAATGCCATTGTTACTAGTAGCGATGCCCTTGTTACTAGTAGCTTCCTGCTATGTTCGTAAGCGAGGCCGGGAGCTAGTTTTTGAGAGTAAGATGCACCCCGGCCCATCTACTGTCTGTGGTTGCTCTGCAAAGCCATATGATTGGCTGTGGGAAGCAACATCCTGACTTTTTTTCGCGGGTAAACATGTAGCCTATGTCGGCACAAGCAGGGTTGCATTTGGCACACCACTGGGACCCAACCAAGCCCCAACATCTCCAGCGCCTGTGGATTGTTCAACCTCAAGCAAGCTTCTCGAAGATCTTGGACCTGGCAGCAGCATTCAGCAGCATCCCGAAGAGATCTTCCTTTGAACCTCTGCTGCTCCATTGTCCACATGCTGCAAGAATCATTGATGTTGAGAAGTATCCCTCCATAGTCGCGAAAGCAGGTACAGGTGTGATCGAACAATGTTGATCCAAAAGTAGGGGTCAGCCAGTCAGGAGCACCTATATTATATACATCTCCCACTGGCACAAACATTCTCTATCTTTCTTTAGGCATCTTGGTGCTCGTACTTTGGATCAACTGGGTTGTTCCAAACAATTCTTGGAGACTGTAGAAGGATCCTGCAATGGTCTTGGCTAGGCCCTTCGACAATGGACGTACTTGGCCAATGTTTAAGTGTGATCTCTTGCCATTGGAGCTCTTAAGTTCATCACAGAACCTGGCAACTGGGTCAACAGCCTGGTACACATGCAGAGCCATTCTTGGCAGTGTGGACATGATCTTGGTACCACTGCAAGAGGATTATTGAACTCTGAAAAACATCTCAAATAAAGGACACTCCTCG